GCCTCGGTCGATACATTCACGAACCCGTCCAAGCATGTTTGTTGATACGTGATGGAACCACCCATCCAAATCTTGAGGTTCTTGACGTATTCGTCTAGCTTGCTAATCAGCTCTTTGCAATTTTCGAGAGCTTGACGAGACATTGGGTCTTTGGCCGCGTCTTGAATGGTGCCAGAGTTGTGACAACCTTCTTTATCTCGCGGATAGCCGCTTGGAAACCCGCCTGGATGAGCGCCTTGGTCGGTGGTGTTGGTGTCCGCGAGGCTGTTTTCGCATGCTTGTTTGTAATCGGTGGGTTGGCAAATGGTTTGCACCGCCTTCGTGGAAGTCGTCGGCTCATCACTTCCGCCTCCTTTACGACTGCGTGTCACACCAACCGCCACCGCCACCACCATGGCCACCAGTATGACAGAACAAACCCCTATTATTGCCGGTGCTTTTCCCATTTTTTTCACTACTGTACTTTTAGAAGAACAAAGACGATTGTTGATTTGTATTAGGTATTTGAAACAACTGAGGGAACTCTTTCTTCAAATATATAGAAGAAACTTGAGAACTTGAACCATTAAAAACAAGAACAAAATGAAGATTTATCGTTAAAAAACATTGAACTTTATACTGATATGAATCTTTGGTTTCAATCTAAAATATTGGGTTTTGCTTGAAAATTGAGTGGTGAGATTTACTCTACACCCATTGTCTTGGGGGTATTTTTAGTTAATTGGAACTATCTTTCACACAAACTAAACAGTCTAACAAAGCATTTATTTAGAAAGTTAGAAAGGAAAAAATGTTAAATATCTTGCTATGATAAATAAGTACTAAATAATTAGAAATTTAATAATTAATCACATAATTATTCTACACTATGTCCGATGTCGTGTCAGTCACTCTGATATCGTTATTATTGCAGCATTGCCAATTTAATAGTTAAATACCATTTTCGTGCTCATGCTAATTTTGATTGTAAAGATTTTTTGTCACTAGAGATTTATTGCCATTTTCGTGCTCATGCTAATTTATGGGTAAACTACGCCAATGGTCACTGATGTTTGGGTAAGTTTTCATTTTCACCACTAATGTTTCAAAAGTTACAAATAGGTCACTAACGTTATCATTTGTGACAAAAAGGTCACTGGCTGTTAACAGCCATTAAGAGGCGTGACGAAAAATACAGCTGGACCATTATCTGCTGAGATGATCGTTGACTGCCATTTTGATCGGCTCTTCTTCTTCTTCTTCTTCAACCCATTCCCCATCTTCTTCTTCACTTTCTTTCTCTTCACTTTTCTTCATTGTTCATTTAATACCAAAATTTTCGTTCAACATGTTAAAGGTTAATCATGTGATCAGAACTAGCTAAAATCTATTGTGGATTCACTAATGAATGAAATGAGCATTTGGGATACTTTCCCTGCAGTTGTATTCTCTGGCCTCTTTGATTGAAAACTCCAGGATTCCAAGTAAAGCATATATCTCATTTGCTTTTGGATGAGATTTATCAACAAACAAGAAACTCGTGTACATGTCCATTTAGTTGTATCAAACTACAACCGGGGACTTTCTTTAGTCCTTTCTCTTTAAGAAGTTTCCTCATTTTAGCAAATTTGTCCTACTTCCCTGCGACTGCATACATGTTCGATAGTAAAACATAATTTCCAGCATTTTCAGGTTCCATTGTTAATAGTTTCTCGGCTGCAGATTCTGCTAACTTGGTTTCTGAGTGCAGTTTACATGCACTCAACAAGGGCCCCCACACTCGAGTATCAGGTTTGAATGGCATTTCGTTGATAAGTTCTCTCGCTACATCAATACGTCCGGCGCGCCCTAGTAAATCCACCATGCAGGCATAGTGTTCTTGGTTGGGTTGACAACCATAGATTTCCCTCATCTCCTTAAAAAAATACTCGACCTTCTTTAGATTCAGTAGTACCAAGAAAAGTAACTTGATCCAGTTCAGATTCAACTGTTTCATCCAGTTATACAACTTGAAACATTGTGGCCAGTCTCCATGCTTAACATTAGCACCGATTATCGAATTCCATGTTATGATATCCTTGACATCAATTCTCTCTTCATCAAAAAGCTTTCTAGCCAAAACTATGCATCCACATTTCGCATAACCGATAAGAATTGCATAATTAATCGATGACAACAAATTCAGACCGAGCTTCAATGAGCATCCATGAAGGGCTTTAACTTGTTCTAGGCATATTCACACATGTAGGCAAGAAGTTGATAACTATAATGAAATCGGCTTTAACTCCATCTGCTTTCATCCTGGAGAAAAGATAAAGAGCATCATGATTCTGGTCATGGTTTACCCATCCTTTGATCATTGAGCTCCATGAAGCCACAGTTTTCTCTGCTAAATTTTCAAAAACCTTTTGAGCATAGGTTAAACAATCGCATTCATAAATACATATTAATAAAAGAATTATGAACAAACACTTGATAGCCTAAATCGTTTTTCATCACATAAGCATGCATTTGCTTGCCCCACCCAATAGATTTCAACTGCCTAATAGAGGAAATAGCAGGAATAGCAATAAACATATCAGCACTAATCCCAAAATTTAACAAGCACCTCAAATTATGAACATAGCTCCATTGTTCATTTAATACTAAAATTAAAGTCATTTCAATTTTCAGCTTTTTGATTCGATACGAAAGAAGAAAAGTGAAGAGAAAGAAAGTGAGGAAAAGTGAAGAGAAAGAAGAAGAAAAGTGAAGAAAAAGATGGGGAATGGGTTGAAGAAGAAAAAGAGCCGGTCAAAATGGCGGTCAACGATCCACTTCAGCAGATAACGGTCCAGCTGTATTTTTCGTCACGCCTCTTAACGGCTGTTAACGGCCAGTGACCATTTTGTCACAAACGATAACATTAGTGACCTATTTGTAATTTTTGAAACATTAGTGGTGAAAACGAAAACTTACTCAAACATCAGTGACCATTGGCGTAGTTTACCCCTAATTTATAAATACTATAAATTTAAGAAATTTTAAAAATAAAATATATAAATCAAAATTTTAAAAAATTAAAATTAATATTAAAAATATATATTTTTTGGTTTTGAAATTTATATATTTTAAAATTGTAAAATTCATAAAATAGAAAATCTTTAAAAAAAATAAAAAATTGAAAATTCTAAAAAAGCAGTAAACTTCATGTTTTAAAATTATAAAATTATAAAATGTATATATGTTTAAAATTAAAAAATATATAAATTAATATTATTTTAAAAAATATCTCTTAATTTTTATTATAATAATTTATTTTACTATTGGCATTCTTTGATATGCTACAGGACATTTTCTTACAATGTCACAATAAGTCAAAGCATGTGGAATCTGCACATATAATAAGCGTCAAACTAATAGTGTCCTTCACTCCAAGACGAGACTACTGAGATTATTAATGTCATTGGAGAATCTTACGGTAAAAGAAAATGCAATTCACACTCAAACACTTGCAATCCAGAATGAATAGATCATCATAACTTGAGTTATGAACCAAGACCATAAAACATGTCATATATGAATCAACATAACACTTTCTATAAACCACAACCATATTCATTGTCAAAACATCCCTCGGAAGACACAGTGCACTCTCTTGCCATAAACCTACAACAATTTCAACAAGCAACAAGGTCGATTATTAAAAATCTCGAAACACATGCCATTTTTAAAAGAAGAAGATCTTTGTAATCCTAATCTAATTTTACAAGGAAGACCATTTTTAAAAACATTAAAAGCAATAACTAGTGTGCATGATGGTGCCCTTACTATGGAGTTTGATGGGGATGTCATCCAATTAACATAAATGATGCCATGAGAAATTATAGAGATGCATTTGATTTGTTTTCTTTAGATGTCATTGTCCCTTTTATGCATGAAGCCTTGGAAACGATTGAATTGAATATTATATACAATAAAGCACCATCATCGATAATAAAAGATAACATCATCAACATTAACTTAAAAATATGTTAGTCATACAATTTTTAGCATCGAATCGAGTTGAAATTTCTAATTTTTTGAGTGGACTCAAGTTCTGCTCACAACTACCCTTAGGTGTGCTCAAATAGAATAGAATTATATCCCGACTTCCCAGTGCATTTGGATTTAGGGATGGATGTACTAAGTTCTAGAAAGGAGTATTTGTATACTCATTATTTTGAAAAAAATAATTAAATTTAATGTGTTAAAAAAAGAAAAAAATAAAGAAATGTTTATACTCTAAAAAAATAGCAACAGAACTCAATTCACCAACTCATAAATCCAAGTAATAACCGCATTAGGTAATTGAAAAGAAAACACGTTTTACTAATATCAAACGGTATAAATAAAAAAATATCAAACGGTTTTACCCATAAATTTGCATCTAAAAATATACGTTTTTGTTATTGGTGTTTTAAATATCTAATAATATGACTTAATATATTAGTAAAGGAGTTAAATTTTGATTTAATCCTTTAATTTTAGATAAAATATTAATTTAATATAAAAATTTAAATAAAGTATCAATTTGATCCTTAAAACTTTAGATAAAATATTTATTTAACCTCTAAATCCGACTTTAAGAATCGACCAATGCTCACCACCGGTTACTGCCAATTTTGTGGTATTTTATTTTCCAATGCATAATATATGTTCTTTTCACGTTTCAAGTTTGATTAGGGTAAATTTAGTTGTTATTAGCTGCTCGTAGATAATGACCCTCTTGCAATTGACATTGGATGATAACATTGCTTTCATAGATAAAAATTTACGTCCCATTCTTTTTTTAAAGGTCTTCATAATGTTATGCCTTCGTCAAACATTCTTCGCATGTTATTATTTTCTTTACACCTCGAAGTCTTCAAAAGAATAAATTTCTCTTTAAGTAGGATCTCGAAGAACATCTTCGAAGAAAGAACTTCAGAAGACATAAAAATACATCTCTAGAAGAAGGATCTCCAATATCCACCAACGTTGCAAGCTATACGTAGATGAATACTTATTCATATGTATTTTGCTTAGAATCTTTATAGACCGGGGATCATGCCAGCAGTGTAAGGCACCCCGGAGTTTTGGATCCACTCCCCACCACGTAAGAACACACCGGCGGTGAATTGCTGGGCTTGAACGTCGTTGATCTTTTGGATACCTCTCCATTTAACCCTGTTAGTTTGCACGGCGCCCGGTCCCCGGTTGTTAAACTCTGCGTACCATAGGGTGTCGAGGGCGAAGTTGCCCTCCCACGGCATCCATCCATCTGGCGCCACGATGTCGTCCAGTTGAGATTGCATGATGATGGTCCTTGAGTAAATTTTCCACGGCCGACCAAGGTACGTCTTGCTTCTCGCCTTCACCGGGAGGTAGTCCGGGCCCCCAGTGAAGGTGCAGTTCTGGAAGACGAAGCCGGAGTCCTCACGACGATCCTCCCGTCCTTGTGCGGTGACCATGCATTGTTGTTTGTCAAGCGGCTTCCGGACGATGAATTTGCAGTTTTGGTAGACCGAAGCGGCATCGCCAAAGACGAAATCGATGGTGCCGGAGACGGTGCAGTCCCTATAATATTGGCGATGACTGTGAGAGTAAAGGGTGTCTTGGTAGCCATCCATTTGACAATTATGGAAGATGGATTGATCACCTTGGACCTTAAGGGCCACTGCTTGATGCTTGATGGCTCCGGCAGAGTTCTCGAATCGAATGTTCTTCGCCATGAATTTTGGACCAATGACAGCTGCAAATATTATTTCATGTTATACAAATTCAAGTATGAGTTTTATAATATTTGAATTCAACGGTAAATACTAACCAACAGTTGCGGTCTTAAATGTGGCAGTGCCATCGACGAAGTTCAAGCGTCCGGTGATGGTGGTCCTAGTCGGTCCGTCTCCGATGAACACAACATTCGACATATGCTTATCAACAATAACATATTCATTGTAAACACCAGCCTTAATGTATATCACAAATGGAGAAGCATTTTTCTTAGGGACTTCTTTCAACGCTTGATTGATGTTATTATATTTGCCACTACCATCTTTAGCGACGACGACATTAGGTCTAATTTGCGACGGATTTTGTAGCAATAACTTGCGTTGCCTAAAACTAACCCACGAAGGGAACCCATCTTTAGCCATTAGCCGACGTTTAGCCCCGCCGGTGTCACTTTTCCCGAAGCCCGGAATGTTGAGATCATGGACGAGTTTAGGAATTTCACTGACCATGGCTAAGCCGTTGCTAGTGAGCATTTGTGAAGTGTTCATCAGTTTTCTCATTTTCTCACCTGCCACGGTCGATACATTCACGAACCCGTCCAAGCATGTTTGTTGATACGTGATGGAACCACCCATCCAAATCTTGAGGTTCTTGACGTATTCGTCTAGCTTGCTAACGTCAAACGCACCGAGTTGGTCGAACGAGTTTTTGAGGTCGTCGATGGCGTAACCCATCAGCTCTTTGCAATTTTCGAGAGCTTGACGAGACATTGGGTCTTTGGCCGCGTCTTGAATGGTGCCAGAGTTGTTGACAACCTTCTTTATCTCGCGGATAGCCGCTTGGAAACCCGCCTGGATGAGCGCCTTTGGGTCGGTGGTGTTGGTGCCCGCGAGGCTGTTTTCGCATGCTTGTTTGTAATCGGTGGGTTGGCAAATGGTTTGCACCGCCTTCGTGGAAGTCGTCGGCTCATCACTTCCGCCTCCTTTACGACTGCGTGTCACACCAACCGCCACCGCCACCACCATGGCCACCAGTATGACAGAACAAACCCCTATTATTGCCGGTGCTTTTCCCATTTTTTTCTCTTTTTTTGCACTACTGTACTTTTAGAAGAACAAAGACGATTGTTGATTTGTATTAGGTATTTGAAACAACTGAGGGAACTCTTTCTTCAAATATATAGAAGAAACTTGAGAACTTGAACCATTAAAAACAAGAACAAGAATGAAGATTTATCGTTAAAAACATTGAACTTTATACTGATATGAATCTTTGGTTTCAATCTAAAATATTGGGTTTTGCTTGAAAATTGAGTGGTGAGATTTACTCTACACCCATTGTCTTGGGGTTTATTTTTAGTTAATTGGAACTATCTTTCACACAAACTAAACAGTCTAACAATGCATTTATTTAGAAAGGAAAAAAGTTAAATATCTTGCAATAATAAATAACTAAATAAATAGAAATTTAATAATTAAACACATGATTATTCTACACCATGTCCAATGTCGTGCGGTCACTTCCGATATTATTATTGTTGCAGCATTAACAATTATCTCTTCATTATCACCGTCATTGTTCTTATGCGGAAACACCGTCAGCATGACATTATTAACGTCGCCCACGGTTCCACCGCTATTATTAACTTCACCCAAGCTCACATAGTTATAAGTGAGGCCACTAGGGTTTCCAAGCATGGAAAGTTCGTTAGCATGAAACCCTAAGTTCATATTGGCTTGATTTTGGAGCGTGGCGAAGGCTAAGCTGAGGTCATTCACTGATTTGTATCATAGCTCAAAGGTGGGAGGGTGGTGTTGGGGTTAATTGTTGATCTTTGGTCCTTTTTGATGACGATGACAACGGCTTCGATTTTTCCTACAACCGCCACGAACCGAAACGTTCCTCAGTGTGCCACTTTTGGTCCAATATCCCCTACATGACTTGCAGAAGTACTTTGACTGAGACAGGCTGTAGTTGTTGTAATAACAGAACTTGGTGTGGTGGAATCACATCTTGGACACTTGAGAGCTTGGTTCGGTTATGGCCTTGGTCTCCTCTCTTGTTGTTCATTTTCTTTTGTGGTAATCACCATGTTGTAATAACAGTTTTATCTGATGAACACGTAAATGGGAAAAGATGTACAGTTTAGATATATTCTTTATATTAAGTCAATTAATTACACAATTTTTCGTGCCAACATATATTATACAAAGGTATTTTCTTTAATGTTACTCGAACCGAATATAGATATTATCAGAAAAAATGAATAATTGAAACAACTTCGAACGTGACAATGAAGTCTTTAGCACATTCATTTTCACAATGAAATGATCCTTTATAATGCCTCTATCAGAATCGGTTCTTCCAGCACTTACAAACATGGAATCCATACATCACCTCGTCATTTCCGATTTTCTTTATTTTCCTCTCTTTTCCTCCACATGCTCTTACGGAAAGCATTGCCGTCCGATGTTCTTTTTTAACTTCCTACATTATTCTACATGCATTCGGATTTTCCTCGCTAAACATTGATGTGATATTTTCATTGTCGTTGCCATTGTTGCTGATGCCATAGCATAGTTACTGTACTAGTCATTGTTGTAATGATCGATCCTGCTGTAACATGAGTATCACGGCAGCGAACGGACATATTCGTATCCGGTTACATACGGTGACGGCTTGTACGTGTTGCAGCTGTCACTTACGAAGGGTGGTTGTGGTTACGAATGTAGTGGAAAGGTTGACCACTAGGACAGAAACTGTATTGGCTGTGGCAAGTAGGGTATTGCCTAGTGCATGGTACGTCGTAACAATGGACATATCCATATCTCGGTCTGTAATCGGGTGAATGGTGACATATTACATGAACTTCTCCTGCATCTTTCGGTCCGAAGGTTGCGACAGTTGTTGCTGGCCGGCATTCACATTTGTATCTGCGGCAGCAGTTGCTGGCTCAGGTTGTAGATTCTCCATAGGTGGTTGGTCTTTCGGTGGCTCTGCAGTTGGGGCTGCTGCTTCAGGCTGTGGAATAGCAGCTTCTGCTGTTCCAGAGGCTGCGCAGCCACGTCTGTTCGGAATGGGAACAGATTGTTACAGTCTTTGTAGTATTCCGAAGGCTGTGGAATAGCAGCTTCTGCTGTTCCGGAGGCTGCGCCCAAAGGATGTGGAATAGCAGCTCCTGCTGTTCCGGAGGCTGCGAAGCCTCAGCCACGTCTGTTGGTTCCGAATGGGAACAGATTGTTACAGTCTTCGTAGTTTTCTGAATTGCCTTAACGATTTCATCAGGATCCGCCCATCCTATAACTGTCGACTTCTGTTGAGCTATATCCGGAAAAACTTTATAAATAACGATAAAGAAAAAAAAATAACCAACTCGGAATCCTTGATTAAGTGAAGACATCTGATGAGTTGACTGATACATTATTAAATGACATCACAAACAACTAGTTCTCATAATGCACAAACAGTATAACTCTCTTTCTTTTCTTACAAATAGAATCAGTTTTCAACATTAGGCAAAACAACATCCTTTGATCTTTTGTTCTTTTTGGAACTGCCCAAAACAATCTTAGAAGACTTTTGTCTCTGAAAGTTCAATCTAACGGTTCATCATGTAACACTATTCATATCCATGGTAAGGATTTCTCCAAAAATTGGAAGAAAAAAAAAAGAAAACGAAAAGAGCCGCTGGATCCTCTTCTACATTGCTGCTGCAGTAACCACTGGATCTGTATTGCAAACACCAAGTGGTATTTGTACGAAATGAATCACATAAAGTCATAATCATCGACATCATCATAAGCATTGACAACCAAATCGTCATCTGGTTTATCGACATGAAGCTGTTTTTTCTTCCCACCTGGAAAACAACCCCCCTTGGGATCAGAGAAATGTTTCATATCTAAAACTCACAGTAAACCAAGATTTCCGAAAAATGTGCATTTCTAGGCTTTACCCTATAATATCGAAGAAAATTTTTGTTGGGAGAAAGGTAATCAACATACAATGAAATTACGCAAGGGAGTGGCAGTTACCTGTGGCTTTTTACCTACTCTTGCTATTACCATAGTGCTCAATTATACATGCAAGTAATTCTGCTTAATGTAATCCATTAAGTGAAAAAATCGAAACCACTGCATGTTTCTATTTTCTCTTCTGACAGACGTTTATAACACGGGTACACGGGCTACGAGAATGAAAAGAACAGCAGATTGCTGTTTTACCTGTCTTCTTTTTAGTTGTGGCTTCTTTTTCTGCTTTTAGCTTTTCATTTGCAATTGCCGTGACTGAAGATGCAATATCTTTGACATCGGCCGCTTTCAAAGAAGTCAATGATAGTCTCATTACGGCCTTGAGTAGTGCGGTATAATGGTAACTTTTCTGCATCAAATAATGTATTTGGGCAACAATCAACATGAGAACTTCCTCAATGCAGTGCCAATGAAGGAACAGAGAGACGGTTAAGTTCACCTCATACGGACAAAGCTTGTGAGAAATAAGCTCGGCATACTCCACAAAGTCACTTTCAGATTTGGGAATAAAATTATCAAGAGTCTTATCATCTCCTTTTTTGGAAAAGAGCTCAGTAGTTGACCTATAATCGGCTTCTTCCACAAGCCTATGAAAGAAAGCAAAATGTCAGATCATGGCACCTTACCAAGAAAAGCAACAAAGTATGAGAAAAATATCAATTTCGGATACATACGTGAGTGTATGTGTGTAAACATGAGCGGAAATGGTGCCTTAACATTTAGAAACAAACTACAACCTAATGACAAAGGAAATACCTCATTGTCATCACTGTGGAAGTTAAAACTACTGAATTTCTACCTTTGTTGGCGAAGTTTCTCGGCCACTGGATCAAGGGGCTCTTCCTTAGCTACTTCAATAGTTTTCCCTTTCTTTTCAGTAGCTTTGGGTGCAGCCTTTTTGGGGGCCTTCTCCGCTGGAGCTTTCACAACAGGTTGCTGATAGCAGTTAAGGAAGAAAATGAGTACAAGCAAATAATCTTCACTCCATTATCGGAAATACAAAAAAAAGGCCTCATGTATCACATAGAATGTCCACGGAAAACAGCTAAGCTACAACTTAGACGTGCTATAGGTGACATTCTAATTAGCATTCAAGCCATTCTTATGCCATTACCAAAAAATGCAGATTTACAAGACAATACAACAGCTCTAGGAGACACTCTAAATACTTGATTCTAACTCCAAATGGTAAGAATTAAGTGCAGAGAATCACTATTAATCACCAATCAAATTTCTTAAACTGATGCTGTATGATGTTAACAAGCAACAATAAAGATTGAATTACCAAATCCAAGTTACAAATCAGGTTTGCTAATTCAAGATTAGATACTATTTATCCATCTAACAATGCCCAGAGATACAAATATCAAATTCAAATCAGGATCAATCTGAAAAGAAATAATAACTTTCAGAATAACAGTAGCAGCTCCATACATCATGCTGAAATAATCCAAATTACAATGAAAACCATCATACCTGAGGAGGTACAGGTTCATCTTCATCCTCCCATGATTCCTTGACATCGGAATCATCAATATCTTCATCATCCCATTTGCTTTTAGGTAGCACCTTTGTAGGGATAGGTGGAATCTCTTCCTCTGCAACAATAGCATACAACTTCGTGAGCAAAAGAAAAGGGTTAAAGAAAACGAAATCACGAAAAGCAGCAGACCAAAACAAAAAGAACGACTGAATGCAATAGGTTTCTTCAACTAAGATTCGAAGTAGACCATAGTTCTAGGCCTAGCCCTTAATAAACATTAAAAGCATATGAAAGATAAAATAGAATTGAAACCCTTAAAACTTTAAACCTCCTATACGATACTATGAAACTAACTTCACAAAATGTCCTCGGCGCAATCAGGGAGCAATAACTAGTGAATCCTGTCAATTGAATCCAGGTAATGCTGCCGCAGTGACTAATCTTAATAAAGAGAAAACACCCTAAATTTCTCTGTTTCACCTGGCAACACCATATCCAATTTCCCAATAAACTTTTACTCAAAGAATTCAGCTTTGAAACATCACAACTCCATCTCATTAAAACGAAAAACAAAAAACAAATAAAAGCTCTTAATTTCATTAAATCCAATTAACTTTTAGCACTTAAGGAAAGAAATCTTACACATTCAAATTCACGCATAATCAAACAGACAAAAGTAAATGGAATCACTAATCGGTCAAAACCCTGCCAATAAACAACAAATTTGGGCAAAAAGAAACGTACCCCAGTCTTCCATCTTCACTGAACGACTTTCCACTAATCGAAGAACAATCCTGAATACCACAAGATAAAAAAATATATAGTCCTTTAGATTTTTTTTTCCAAAAAAAATTCAATCAGAAAACCCAAGAAGAAATTACTTGCCTTTAAAATAACTATAATTGTTTGTAGTTGTGTGGATTTATGTGTAAATCTCTCCTTTTCTTCTCAGTTCAAATCAGATGCCAAAGAATCAACCTTAAGGAAGTGAACTGTTTTAGGGTTCTTATATTGTTATTTTTAATAAACATTAATATTTTGTATTTTACCTAAATGCCCTTCCACTTAGTACGCTTTGCAAATTTGTCCCCGGGATAAAATCCTTACAGTTTAGTCACCCAAATTACAAAGTTATTTCATTTCAGCCAGATGAACTTCCTATCAGCTTATACATTATAATATAAACAAATTGATTTCCAAATCTCCCGTATAAAAATAGGGTATACTATTCGTATGACTTAATTATACATTTTTTTTATTTTGACCATTGATTTTGAAATTTTATCAATCAAAATCACCTAACTATTTAAATAGTTCAATCAAGTCACTTATTGTTAACATTTAACACAGGAGATGATATGACAGTTAATAAAATTGACATAATTATACATTTAGTCCTTAATATATACATGTTCTATCAATTTAAATTACAAGACGCATGAAATATAAAAAAAGGAAAATAATTTCATGTCATTGTTGTCGCTAAATTTTTGGAGGCAAGTATCAAACTGAAACATAAATTAAATTTTAAATATGATTTAAAAATAAAATTTAAGTATTAAAATAAACAAAAAATGATCATTTAAGTACTAAATGTATAATTTACCTTAAATTAATAAAACAAAGTTTACCCTATTTGAAACATAATGAACTTTCACCTGGTTTATATGTTAGTTCTGTTTATAGGGATGTATTGAAAATTCATATTTTCTTATATAATTTAGAATTTTTTTATATTTTTATTTATAATTTATTTTCGTCCCTAAAATTTTATAAATTCATCCTTTTAAAAATTTATAAATTCGCCGATCCCAACACAAATTCATGCATATAATACTTTCTATTTGATTGGTATTGATGACACATGCAGGGTATAGTTCTTCCATCAACACCAAATTTAAGTATGATTCTTTTTTATTTGATCAAACCCTGTTACTATTAAACTGCAAACTAAGAATTAACAGCTCTGCAGTTCTTCCTAATCTCTCCATTAGACCCTGTAAGTGGACTTATGTTCCCCATCTTGATCATGGAGTTGGCAAAGTCATTGAAGAACAGTTTCGAATCCTTGCTGTAGCTTTCGACGAGGCTTTTAGTCGTCGAAACGGCCGAATCACTGGAATATAATATCTGATCAGAACCTAATAACCCCTTCCCATCCACCAAGTTCTTGAAATAATGGTTGTCGAATAGATCAGTCGAGTTCCTATCGAGCACGGTGAACCTGTTGCTGTCACCGTTAGCCGGACAGAAGCTTTTCAGATCCGATAACATGCTCACCTCCATCGTACCGTCGGGCGCACCGGTTCCCGAGAAGTTGAATAGCCTGTTGTTGAAGGTGGAACACTTTGCTAATCCGATTGTGTGACCGCCTAAGAACATGAATGTATATTAAATTCCGAAGTTTATCGTGATTCTTCGTGATAAAATTCGAGTTCGTGACCATGATTATAGTAGCTTACCTGATAATGACACTACATCAGTTACGTTCAGGCCAACATTGGTGTACTTTTGAATGATTTCATCCAGTGCCTCAAATGGAGAAGGAAGCGTCGCATTCGCTTGCGTCGCGCTCGAAGCCGTTCCGTCTCTCCTTCCTAATAAGACTCTCCATGTCGGTCCTCCACTCTGCGAACGAATAATTTCCAATTAAGATCGAAAAAGGGAAGCAATTTGGGTTGGTATGTGTCATGTGTGTGTGTTAACTTACTAAGACAACAGAGTCACGAGCAGCGATGGCTAATATATCAGCACACGATACAACTCCGCTGCACGAGCTCTCTATGGCACTTTTTATCGCATCAACAACTTCAAATCCCCTCGCCGAGTTTACGTTAGCAAGAGCGAACTTCTCGGTCGTGTTGTCTCCGTCCAACAAAACCGATGCATCGCAGCCCTGCAAAAAACAAGGCCAAATTGTTTAATGATTATGTTTTTGCTTCATAAGAATGCTGCCTGCATTTTCAAAGCTCACATTCACAAAGCAATCATGGAAATGAAGCCGGAGCAGAGAGGCCGCCATTCTTATCTCCGTCTTGATCGCATTTTGAACTTGTTTTCGGACGATCGAAAGAAGAGTCGGGCATGTTTCCGAGTAGAAATCAGTTGTTAGTTGGGATCTCACACCTAAACAAAGCAGCAAGCTGATCAAAAGCAGAGAATCAGCCTTGAAGTTGTTTGAACTCTTCATCATTAATTCTATATATATACAATTTCCACACAACAAAGTGTATTATGGTACTCGGTGGAATCCTAATGCTAATAAGGTTTAGGGCCAAGGGGTGACATGAATCAGAAATCTTTGAAGCTCTATTTATAACCGGTGTAATGGATGAATTTGTAACTTTAAGTTCCATTTTGTTAGTAACAAATGATATTATTTTTTTAACTATAGGTTTCATTTGTTTATCCCTTTAACAGTTTAAATAAAAAAAAATTATCTTTGTCTAATGGAAAAGATCACAATGACAATAATTTTATGTATTTATAAACGCTACTGCAATTTCAAGATCTCAGATATGAGATATTAATTAAACTAGAACAATCTTGTACCGATTGATCTAATCACTTGATGGTGTGATTAGAGGTGAGTAAAACACGATTCGATTAGACTCAAATTTCATACATTTGACTCGGCATGTAAAAAATTAAATAAAATGTGAATGATAAAATATGACTCATCAACTCGACTAACTCGAATTTTGTTAACTCAATTCAACTCAACTAACTATAATACTTACCCTAATTCCTCTAGAATATATATGTAGTAGCATCAATTCATGTAGAATATCTATGTGACTTCAATTCTTATTTTTAAGGATAAAATATTTATATATAATTTAGTCATTTAACTTTACATTTTATTCCTTTAACTTTGCATTTTATTCAACTTTTTTTTTTTAACAAATTCTTTCTTTCCATCAATTTATTAACTCTTTTATACACTCTTTAATATTTTTTCCCTAAAATACATTAATTTAAAAAAATAAAATTATAAATATATTTTATAATTTCATATATATTTGATTTATTAAATAACATTGCAATGTTAAAAAAATATGAATGAATATATAAATATATCTTATATGATTAGATAAAGTCGTTAAATTGGACCAATCCATACCATAACATTATAAATATTTATAAATAAATTTGAAAATAAATTCAAAATTTTGACTCTATGTTATAAACTCAACTGGAAAAAAAATTAAATTAAATTTAAATTATAAAATAAAACATATCAATCCGACTAATTCGAAATTTTTTTATTCGAGTTGACTTAATAGTCACTCCTAAGTATTATATTACTTCATGGCTGAGTAAGTGGTGGTCTGATGTATGGCGGCTTCTTGGTGCTGCTAGTGCTCACAAAAGATGCAGTAAACTTGGTATATATATCTCCGCGTAAACCTGACAGATAAACCCATTTAATATTGCAAACATTGCAGATATAGCCAAAATTCGTGCGTTAATAGTTATCAAATGAGATACCATATATATAGTAATGAATGCTTTGCTTTGCATGCAACAAGCAATAAAGCAGCAGCAAAGTGCTAACTTTCTGCTACCACTAGGGCGCATGCATGCAATAAAAAGGTTCAGACTTCAGACTTTATAAAAAAAAAACAAGCATTAGCAACCAGAGAGTGGGCGGATTCATATCGGCACGTTGATTTGATGGTTCAATTTTGAGTTTGTAATGGCAGCTGGTGAGTTTGACAGTGGTTGACTTTATTAGTGCTGTGCAAGTCATTAAGCAAGCAGGTTATATACTTAATGATTTTTATGGCATATTCATTTGAAATGGATTATGGGTTTGTTTAAACATTGAAGAAGATGATATTTCGGCAATATTTTGAGCTTTAAATTACTCCATTCAGTTTTACTTTTTTTTAGCATGGGTGTACTTGTTTGGGGTTGCTTTCATGTTCATGTTCCCATCAAGTATCCAAGAAATAAAAATTGGGAAATTATTTGGTACATTATGGGAACTTCTGTTGTGCGGCACTTAAAAAACGGTTAAAAAATGGCGTGATTTGTTAAATAAGTGATCGGTTAAAATTTAGACCGGTTATGTTATATCATTTAATCGAAAATATTAGCAAGTACAATAATATATTAGGTATCGCTTATACAATGTAATAGGTAGCGTTTATATTGACATATTTTCTAACAAAATAGATATATTTAAACCGATAACATTGTAAATTTACCTATTACATTATAATTATTGGTTTTGATGTTTTTGGGATTGATATAATTTTAAATTAATCGACACTTTATGCGTGCACCTCGTTGTGCTTTCATTTTGGGAAAAAAAGATCGACACATATTTAAAGAGTATCGATACATAATGTAAACATATTTGCTAATTAATCAGTATATTTTTACCGGTTACATTGTAAATTTACATGTTACATAATAATTATCGATTTCAATGTTTTTTGGATTGATATTTTTTATAAATGCATTGACACTTATGCGTGTACCAGTTTGAGTTCTTCAATCAACAGTTTCAATGACACAAAACCCTAACAAAAAAAAACTAAAACTGACCTAACTTTATCATATGGAGATAATAAGATTATATCATAAGTTTGCGTTAAGAGATGTCTGTTTTTGGGTTTTTGTTCTTTGAGAAATTGATAACATGGTGGGTTTCTCAATGTTATTCTTTTGTTACTGTAAATTTTTTGTTCTTTTCTTATTGGGTTTTACTTAAAATATTCAACTTTTTTGTATTAAAAAATGAAAATTCTGAAATAAAAATGACCACACAAGCACATTTTTTTACTACCGATTTTGTCATTTCGAGACTGATTTTGTCATATTTTTACATGTTATATTGTTATGGATCAATACATTTTATAAAGTATCGACATTTTATTGGCGCTATAACTTCTTTTCTTTTAAATTCTAAAAGTGTCGATACTTATAATAAAGTATCGACACTTTCAACATATCCGATAGCTTTTTATCGGTTTTGTCATTTCGAGACTGGTTTTGTCATATTTTTATCTGTTATATTGTTATGGATAGATACATTTTTATAAAGTATCGATACTTTATTAGCGCTATAACTTATTCTCTTTTAAATTCTAAAAGTGTCGATACTTATAATAAAGTATCGATACTATCAGCATATCCGGTAGCGCTTTATCTGTTTTGTCATTTATAGATCGGTTTTGTCATTTTTTTACCTGTTATATTGTTATAGATCGATACATTTTTATAAAGTATCGACACTTTCAATATATCTTGTAGCGTTTTACTTGTTTTGTCATTTATAGACCGGTTTTGTCATTGTTTACCTGTTATATTGTTATGGATCGATACATTTTTATAAAGTATAGACACTTTCAATATATCCGGTAGTGCTTTACCTATTTTGTCATTTATAGACCGATTTTATCATTTTTTTACCTGTTATATTGTTATGGATCGATACATTTTTATAAAGTATCGACACTTTCAATATATCCAGTAGCGCTTTACCTGTTTTGTCATTTATAGACCGATTTTGTCATTTTTTTACCTGTTATATTGTTATGAATCGATACATTTTTATAAAATATGGACACTTTCAATATATCTGGTAGCGCTTTACCTGTTTTGTCATTTATAAATCGGTTTTGCCATTTTTTACATGTTATATTATTATGTATCAATATATTTTTATAAAGTATCGACACTTTCAATATATCTGGTAGCGCTTTACCTGTTTTGTCATTTATAGACCGGTTTTGTCATTTTTTACCTGTTATATTGTTATGGATCGATATATTTTTATAAAGTATCGACACAAACCGACAAGCTAAGTTTGTCGGTTGCCAAATTTTTTAATATTTCTTCATGATTTTCACTTATTACATTATTATTACTCGATATTTCCGGTAGCGCTAAATCGAATTTGTTAAATATCTTTTAATGTATCTGGTAACACCGTATATTAATCCGTCTTTCCTGATTGTGAGATAATCTAGTACATTATGATTAGACTCCCCAATCAATGTTCGCTAAATGATTAAAAATAGAATTTAATTTATTGACGATAAATAATTTTTATATGACTAATGAATAAAATTATGTCAAATTAATTATATGTATAGGGTTTTTTTTCTTTTTTTTAACCTAAGTTTTATCTTAATATTTTTGTGTTCACCTTCCTCTTTTCCTTTGATTTTTGTTTAGTTCGATGTGACATTAATCTTAATATTGATTGTCGATCGTTGGTGATTATTATTTTTCTTGTTCTTTTTCATACTATTTTTTTTTAATTTTTTTAAATTTAAATAAGAATTTTTGTCATTATGACACACTTTTCTCTATTTTCGTGATAAGTTTTTTCTATGCTCATGTCGCACATTTCATGACTTTTGGTAAGTTTTTCGCATATTTTTACGGTCGTGTTGATGCTTGCACAAAGATTCTGGTTTGTGTATTGGCTTCGCATGTTCTTGGATATGAAACAGATAAAGAACAAAATCATGGATCTTTGAAAGGAAAAAAAATAGTCCCTCTATTAAAATATCCGTCCATATTTTCTATTAAGTATTGATGTGACTATTAAGTATCTGTTTCATATCGAAGAACATGCGAAGTCAGTACATAAACCAGAATCAGTATTGTAAGTTTCCTCAGCTGATAAACAATCCAATAAAAGAGGCCATGCTTCATTATTCCCAGTCTTATAAATACTGCATCTTCAGGTTTACATGTCCACAGCTCCAAACCCTCAGTGGTCAGTAGAGAATCATGGGAGTTTTCACTTACAAATCTGTGATTAATTCATCGATCCCACCGGCCAAGATGTTTAAGGCCTGTATCCTTGACGGCGACAATCTCATCCCCAGGATTGTTCCACAGGCTTTCAAGAGTGTTGAGTACATTCAAGGCAATGGTGAGCCTGGCAGCATCAGGAAGGTCACTTTTGCACAAGGTTACCTCATTTTGTAATTTATGTAACTTTATGTATACTTAAAAGTTTGAAAGGAAAAAAGGGTGAAAATCATGTGTTTTTGGACATGCAGAAAGCCGATTCAATTACATGAAGCAGAAGGTAGAAGCAGTAGACCGAGACAATTTGTAATACGTTTACAGTGTGATCGAAGGAGATCCATTGATGAACAAGCTCGATAAAATCACTTACGAAATAAAGTTAGAGCCATCTCCAGATGGAGGATCCATTTGTAAGACTACCAGCAAGTATTACACCAGTGGTGACATTGAGCTCAAGGAAGAAGACATCAAGGAAGGCAAAGAAAAGGCTTCGGGAATACTGTTCAAGGCCATTGAAGCATACCTCCTGGAAAATCCTCATGCCTACTGAAAACATATTTGCTTCATGGTTTTCCCAGAAGCTTCATCTGAAATGAGACTAATAAATAAAAGAGCATCGAATTAATTAGCTAATAAGGCTTCAGCTTGATGTTATATGTTAGAATTAAGATAAGTACACAAACTAGAATCAATTGAGAAGGTCTATGTATTTTTCTAATAGTGAATTTCAAAATATCATGTTGAAACTATGTTCTCTGCAAATCAGTAGAAATGATGGGTGTTTTCACTTATGAATCCGAGGTTATTACAGCAATCCCAGCAGCCAAGTTTTAGGCTTGGGAATCTTTAAGACAAAATTCTTTAGACCGTCTCCCTCACCAGCTATTAGAGTGGAACAGCGGAAACATGGTGAGCCCATAACCCACATGTCCCATGATCAAAATTCGACTGTGACATGAAATTTAGCTCAGCTGGTCAATATTCTCTATAACATTAACTTATAGATGAAAATGCGCATAACCAACACAGAATGCAAAAAATATTTGAGTAATAATGACGAATGTGAAGCCCATTAGGAAATAGCAATCCGAGGAATCTCATGAGTAAACAAAACCAATTATGTAAAAATATATTGGTATCACAACCATAACAGAATCAAAAAAGTAGAAATTGACCCGGATTTTTACATCAAATTTAGAACCAATTGTAATAGTAATCACAAGCTAAGTAGCAAAGAAAAATGATACTTATCACAACCCAAGTAGAAAAGAAAAATGATGATGAAGTAAAGATAAAACAAAATGCTTGTTGGTGAATTGAAATAGTCACCCACCTGGCAGAGAAACATTTGAAGGCCACCGGAGAGGAAAAGATTCCTTCCGTACTCGTTGACGGTGGCAATGAAAACAAGTGTTTCACAAAAAAAGAAAAAGAAAAAAGATCAAACCAGATTTAAAGTTCTTTAAAATTTTGCACAGAATTCTCACCATTATATATACATACGTTATATTTAATAAGAAAATATTAAAATACAACAAAATTATTCGAACTCATTTACAGTTTTATAATATTAATTACAACACCCACCAACAATTACAAATAACCTACTTACTGCGATAAAGAAGCTAAATAATCATATAATTTCTTTATTTAGTAAGGCTCTTGTAAACACAAGAGCAGGCAACTGAGAGAATAATTTGTACTGAGATTGGGTGGGGTGCGCCAGGCCCGAGCTTTAGTGCAACGCTTGGGCGACGCTTGAGAGACCCAATAGCAAGCTATTGTGGTGGCCTCTCCCCCTCAAAAAATAAATTTAATATCGTGTGAGCCATTGGCCCACGTATCAGATATTAAACTGATAAGAACAGATTCTACACTTGATCTTAGCCAAAAGGCCGAGAAAGGTATGCCCTTCATCTGCCAAGCCATCCTCTTTTATAAGCAGCTTCTTTCGTCTTCTTTTCATGCCTTCCAAATGTGGGATTTGGGACGACTACCTTCATTCTCATCTTCAAAACCTTGTGCCATGAAACTCCAAAACAAACTTCAAAACAGTCATTTCTTTTCCTTAAGTGTACATTTTTCTAATATGAATGTTATTATTCTCGAATTGCTTAACTTTTATTTTTTCCTGATAATTCTTTTGCTATTCTTAATTTATGTTTTTTGTATTTCTTTTCCCAAAAATAATGCTAAACTAACTTCAAAATTGGCACTGTTTTCTTTTCTGGAACGGTGGACTTGGAAATTCATTTGTCATTAAACATTAACCACGAAAACTACAATTTTTATAAATATTTTTTATTTCGAATCTAAATAATCTAAATAATATAATGTATCAAATTCAAATCAATATTGAAAACCACACTAGATGACGCCAATTACTGTAATAAATGATGAAGATTATCACAATTGAACACTTAAATCACTTTCAAATGTACTCGAAGATGTTCTTTGCTTAAAAGCTTAACCGCAGAACAAAATTGTCTGCTCTCGTGTTGTGTCGATAACTCAAGATGTAGGACTTAAAAAATTATCTTAATTCGATAAAATTCATTAAAATTAATTCTTCGTTATTCAAAAATTTAATCATTTAATCTGTACTCTTATATTAAATTTCATCAATTTAATCATCTGTGTAAAAATATGTTTGCATCAATTTAATCATCTGAGTAAAAACATGCTTGCATGGGCAACGAAACTGCATATAGATATTTAGTTATAATAAATCAGCTAATTCTGGGCATTTTTCCTGAAAAATAACCGTTGAACAGTATATTTTTCGATCAGGCACCCGTCAAACTATATTTCTCGATCTAACACCTATTGCAATATAGTGCACCCCAGGGGGCGCTTTATCATACGTGGCGTAAAGCGTGCTCCCTGGGGGCTATACCTAATTTGTAATAAATCCGGGTGTTAGTTTTGTAAATATTTTTAAACTGGTGTCTAATATGTAATTAATTTCTGTTAGGATGATATTTGTGTACAAATTTCAATTTCAAAACAAACCAATATGCAGTTTAGACAAATAATTATGCAAGTAATCTTTGATGGCCCCCACACATTTTTACTGTCTTTCGTTTGTCTCTTCCGCTGCCAGATTTAAATTATATTTATCCTACTATGACGGATTCAATTACAATGTATTACCCCCACAATTTATTATTCGATTTTAATTATCCTTTTTTGTTTAGCTTTAATTTTTTTTATTTAGAAATATACTAATATTATTACAGAAAAGTTAACTTGTTATTTCCACATAATAATTATAGAAAAGTTATACAATTTAATTAAATAACAATAATTAAATTTATATTTTATATATAATATATAAATCAATAACACAATTTGACAGCCTTAAAACGTTTCTATGATCCTTTGCATTATTTGGAGAATTCAGCCGAGTCCTTGCTTTTATTTATTTGTGGTTGGCACTGCCACTGTCAATGCAGGGAGTCAGAGTTGCCTTACAAGTTGTGCTTTTTAATTCAATGCTAATCACTTTTGTTTTGCCCTTTTTGTTTGATTGACTGTTGCAAACAAATCAGACTTAAAAATTATTATTTCTTTATTTAAAATATTCTTTATAATATTAATTATAAAAAATATAAAATAAATAAAAATGCAATAAAAAATAATTAAAAATGAATAAAATTCAATAAAAATATAATGTAAAGCTAAAAAATATAACCTCTTTATTTAAAATATTATTTATAATATTAATTTTAAAAAATATAAAATAAATATTAAATTTTAATTTTATTAAAAATGAATAAACATTATAAATATTATTAATACATATATTATTTTGCATGAATGTTATAAAAAAAGGAATTCATACGCAGGAGAAAATGATAAGACAAAACAATTTTTGTGAAGATGGAGCAGAAAAGATCAACTCTTTGATCGAATGTTTATCCATAGTACAATTGAGTTGATATTTAGACATTAGTTAGACAATTTTGAGTTATTAACTTTGTATGATCAAATTTTCATTCAATCCCTGTAACTTTTCACACCTACGACTGTTTAACAATCATAAACTTGACTTTAGGTCTTGAAAATACAATAATTTAAAATTAATTGTTTAAAAATATAAAAAAATATTAAAATAAATTTTTAATTACACTTGATAGATCAAAGGAATTATTATTCATTAATTATTATTTTTTAACAATAATTAATAATGTTTATTTATTTTTAATAAAATTAAAATTTAATATTTATTTATTTTTAAAAAAGTGAATAATAATTTTTAAAATATTTTAAAAAAATAATTTTAAAAGTTAATAAATATTATTAAATATTTTTAAAAAATAATTTTAAAAGTTAATAAATATTATTAAATATTAAAAAAATTATTATTAAAAAAAAGACAGTAAAAACGTGTGGGGCCATTCCTTGCAGTTTGTTTTAAAGTTGACATTTTTACATAAATATCACCATAATAGAAATTAATTACATATTAGGCACTAGTTTAAAAATATTTACAAAACTAACATCCGGATTTATTACAAATCAAGTATAACGCACCTCAGGGACACGCTTTACGCCACGTATGGGGCACATTATACTGCAATAGGTGTTAGATCAGAAAATATAGTCTGACGGGTGCCTGATCAAGAAATATATTGTTCAACGGTGATTTTTCGGGAAAAATGTCCTACTTCGGGCACAAATACACACGCATATATATATATAGGATAAAAGTTATTCCATCTTTCCATTATGCACAAAAGCCCTAAATACAATAGGAATACATAGTTTTGTTCGAGCTTTAACCAACCGATTGCCATTTATGAGGCAGACTGAACATCTTCCTCTTTATGCTTTACTCTCAGACCTATTATTATATTTTTGCCAATAGATTCTACAAACACCCTCATTGACTTATAAATTCTCATCGAGTATAGTCGATATCAACAGTCCTCGGACAAATTCACACCTTCGAGCCTTCTCCTCGTGCTCCTTGTCTGACAGTTGTGACTGTTGAGGTTTTCTGTCATGATAAACTATTGTTAGAAACTTGAATCCAACTGAAAATTATGGATCCACGGGGAAGTAAATACAGGCAAACTCTAAGCATCCACTGCCATTAAAATTTCGTGGATTGAAGGCATTGATTGCCTTCATAGCCCTTTCCTACAAGGGAGGCATGAGTAAAACCGACAGCCTTCTTAAGACTTTAGTACCCGTATCTACCTACAGGCCAGCATCGCTAACTATAACAGCACAGTATTTTTTTTCCTAAGCCACACCATTTCATAGCATTGACGACTTGCTCAAAGTCATTCACTATATCGAAGGGCATAGTGGACTACCAACAGCTCGACTTTTTTACAGGACCAGATAAAGAAACAAAATGACTCGTATCACAAGGATATATGACTCGGTATTTTTACCTTTCTAGAGATTCTTTATCTAAGCTTTCCTTCTCTGCACTTGGTTCAACAATCGAAAGAGACTGAAAGCTTAAAGGCTCATCGGTTGTCAGTGGATTGAACATAAAGGATGACAGTAATGGATCGGCTTCAACATTGGAGGGAGAAACAATGCACGAAGATCCTCCAAGAAGGGAATGCAAGTTTCCTTCTCGCAGTTCTTTTCTCAACATAGAAAATGTCAAATTCGATCCACCCTTGCGTAATCTTCGCCTGCGCTGTAGGTAAATTCCAGTCAAGGAATAACCTGAACCTTTCAAGACATTCCAACTCGCAAACAAACAAAAGAAAATTAAACATACAAAGAAAAAAGAAAAGGCTTTAACGGGGCCAGCAAAGTATAAGTGTGGCAACCGCGAGCCGAAATGTATTCACGTTTCACATGCATTGCATCACCATGGCAAATGTCACACCATCGTAGACATCAAATCAAATTGAAGTGTTTAGCATTTTTAGAGTAGCGAATATTATATAACCATCAAAACCAAAAAAGCCCAGACAAAAGCATCATAAAAAGGATATCTTAAGAAAATTCCCATGTTGCATAGTAATGTGGCTAACAATATCCATCCCGACTCTCTTCACGCAAACCGGGCACACCTGAAAAGGTTAACATTCAACCAAACGCCTATTAAGCAAAATTCAAATTTAACTCTCATGCAATGTTGTGTCTAAGAGACCAAATAATTTTAAAGTTTAGACCTAAGCAGCTTCATGCCATACACCAGAAATGAGAATGATATTCAAGCAAACAACATCTGTAACTCTAGCAGCGGTAAATTCACAGTGAAAGACGCATAATTAGTAAAATTAGCAAGGATCTATTTTAAATTAAATTCCCCAATTCAACACAAACTCAGCTGTAAATCCCTAATTCAAATTTCAATTTCCTTTTTTCCAATTACGAAATACTACATATACATTTCTCTACTTATAAAGTTCAAACGCCCTCCCCCAACAACATTCAAACAACCTAAAAAGTTCAAATTGATTCCTGATAAAGTCAATAAGAAAAACACAAATTTCATCACTAGAAATAAACTTTTACGAGAAATTAGGAAAAAGTTACCCCATTTTTTACTTCTAGGGGATGCTCCTCATCGATGTGACAACAAAGTCCAACAATATCGAAATCCTCAGCGCAGAACGGACATAAAAACTCCGCCTTGAAATCCTCATCTCCGTCAACTTCTTCATATCCTCCTCCCAGAAACAGATCTAAACACAACAAAAGCAAAATTGATCAAAAAATTAATTTTGAAAAATCATTTTCTAGAACCCAACAGAAAGAACAATACAAACCAGATCGGGGTTGATGACGCCTTGAGGAAGACGAAGACGAAGAATTGGAAAATCTAAATCTCCATGAATTTGACTCCATTTCCCCCTTTAGTTGAGAAAAGAACGCTACTTTTCCCCCTCTCGTTTGAGTTTCGATCCAAGTAGTTGAGGATTTTTTTATGAATTTATTGAAATGGAGTCCCTAAAAAGTCTATAAATGGTTAGTTTATGTTAAAAAAACCCTAAATACGAAGAAATGAAGAATTAAAAGTGAGAGAGAAAACAAAAGGGAGGGAAACAGAGCAGATACTCTCCACCGAACTTCTGGTATGAGAGTCAGGCAGGCGTTCAGCTTCTTTTATAAACACGTTTAATTTATTGGTTGTTTTATAAACTTGCCCATTAAGTATTCCGAAATTATGGAAACGCCCCTCTCCAGTCTCCACGTTCGGTTGATTTATCCGAATATACTATTTTAAAAGATTAAAAATCAAAATGGTAAATACCTTTAATTATTTATTAAAATGATATATTTTAGATGAAATTCTATGAAAATGTAATTAATCAGATATACCTTTTCACATATGTGATACAATCTTAAAAAGATAAATTGATGAAACATGTTTTTATTAAATTTCAAATAGTGTAAAAAAATATATTCACAAATTTAATAATAATATGTGTACGATTCTTATCTTTAGTTAAAAAATAATTATATTTTAGAAAAATATATATTTAAAGAGATAAAAAAATCAATATCTAACTGATGTAAATTTTACTAATTTATATTAAGTATTGCGAATGAAAAATATCATTTTACTAAAATTGATTTTGGTAAAGAAATACTATATTAGAAATTTTGCTATAGTTTTAAGTGTCATTCTTCATGCCACTCTTTTTGTAATCACGTTATTTTATATAATAATTATATTTAAAATAATATATATTTTTCATAATGTTTAATACGTTTACAATTTATGTTATAAAAATTTAATATACAACACATAATTGAATCATTTCCATGTTTAAAAATGGCTTTGAAATGGACCTGAGCTTATAATAACTTGTGTTATCATAATATCTAATTTAGATTAATGATCAATAAATTAAATATTAATAATTATATAAATGATAATAATAATTTAATAAGAAACATTAAAAACTCAGTTGGATTAATAAATAAATAATTACATAATACCAAAAATATAATCAGCTTGGGAAAATCCCCCCCGCCCTGTATTGTAAATCCACATGTTGTCCAAGCTCTTCATACATGAACAAAACAGAAGAAACGGCAGAAAAGGACAACTAAAAACCAAGTAATGGCACATTAATTTCTATCTATTGTTGAACCAAGATGAACACAAGAACAGCTAGGAAGATTGAGATTACCGTTGTAGAGCCCTTCCGATGACCCCCGTTTGTTGGTAACATCGAAGGGAGTGCACACTCCTCGCCGTTGAATAACACTTTCGAGGGGAATCCATCCCTTGCAGCAATGTTAATGGAAGGGGTAGTTTTCTTGGTGAATGAGATAACTGATTGTTGTTTGCCGGGCACCCTAGGATCTCTCTCCGGGTTCGCTCCATCGGTTTCTGCAACTATATAGTTTAATCCGGGAAGTCCTTGCATGAATATAGTATTGTTAACACCATCCAACTCCAAGGCAGTTCCATTGAAGGAATACATCTTTTGAAACCCAGGGGTTGCTTTATCCAATTGTACCGCAGCAAACCAATCCGGGAAGGCGATTTCATCCCAATTGAAGATTGTGATCCTAGCACTCCATCCTCGAGAGAAGTCCGAGTAAAGATGCCAGTTTATGCTGACCCCACAATTGTCACCGCACGGCATTGGATTCGGCACTTTTAGATGTTTAAGATCGGCCCATGCATTGGTTACAGCAATTCGGTTCTCAAATGGGACAAGAAGTGCCTCCGGTGGAACAAGAACAGCCGGAGCATTTGTTCTACAAGTGTTGTCAGTGCTGCTAGGGCACCCACATGCACAAGTCGGGCATGGATGACTGATTCGTTGAAGTATGCGGAAAACGATACACAGCACTTGGGCTTTGCATTCTTGGGCTGTGTAATATTGCAAACCACCTGCCAGCTAGCAACTACTGTCTTATTTGATGGCAAACCACTAGGATCGGGGAATTGGCTGGGGCTTACGCGGACTGGGGGACCACATTTGTAATCGGGGTTCAATGTGCCGTTGATCTTCCAATTCTGAGGAGGAGAGAGCTCAGAGCGGTTGAGGTCCGGTGGCATTTTAAAGACCTGCATCTGGAATACTGAACTTGACTTGCTAGGGTCCATTGTTAGTGGCAAGATTGTACCATTACGGCAACAATTCGGTATCAGCCCAAGGGTCGTATCATTGGCCTTCGTCGGGGGCAGGTCAATAATTGTTGGCCTCCTCTCACAATTTAACACATTAGCAAAATCTAGCTCCCTATAGTACTGCCCTTGCGGACCAAATAAGCAGTCCGTTGAATCCACAATATATGGATAAGCCCCTTTCATTATATATATAAATTCATCCCTCATCCAATCAAAACTCAATTTCCAATTATCAAGTCGCCCAAGGGGGTTATGGTTTGAGATAGTAACCTGTGCCCAGTAATTTGAATCATATGTTCTCGTCACATCATACATGATACTAAGATCACCGCTTTGCCGAGGTAGGTAGTCATCGTCTACCGTAACATTAGTTTTGAATTTTGGATCTTTGGTACAACAAACTTGCATCTCACTTTTACCTGGAAGAACCGGCAACAGCAAAATATAAGTCCATCAATACACAAACAGCAAATCCAAATAAATTCATAAAAAGAAACTATCGGAAACAGAGATGAACAAAAAACTAGACTAATGCTCGAAATTATGTTCCGACAACAATAATCAGTCTAAAAAGCAGCCATGATAAGTTGAAACGAGATCAAAGGGTTTCCATATCTATTCAACCATGGTCAAGAAAACTAAACTAAACTAATGCTCAAAGTTATAATCCGATAACAACAATCCAACTAATTAGGAGCTATAAGAACTTGAAACAAGGTCAAAGAGTTTCCATATCAATTCAACCATGGTCAAGAAAACTAAAGTAAACAAATACTTGAAATTATGATCCGACAACAACAATCAGTCTAATTAGGAGCCATAAGAACTTGAAACAAGATAAAAGAGTTTCCACCTCCATTCAACCATGGTTATTAAAATGATAATTAACATTGAAAAAACCGGGATAAGAGGGCTAACTCTGTGATAAAATCTGTAACAACATATGATTTTCATTGCAACAACAGAAAAAACCTCGGTTGATCCAACCCAAACATTGAAATTTGACCAAATCCAGAAAAATCCATGCAGGACACAAGAATCAAACGTATACATATACATATAAAATATATAAAAAAAATACCCATTTTTTTACCTTGCATAGAAGGCTTTGGACAAATGAACCCATCATTAGCAAGCTGAATGGTTTCAGGCAAAGGCACATTGGGAGGCTTCACTCCAAACTGAGTCCCAAGAAGCTTAACTTGAACTGAATCTGATTTAAATCACCGGCTGTCTCAATCGCCGTTTTCAGATCGGTCATCGGATACCCAGCAAAAACGGTACCGTTACCAACATTAGCAGGCAAACTCGTCCCATCAGCCAAAACCGCATTCGACGCCGAAACCAAGTACTCGTCATTTTGAAACCCAACAAAAACCTTCCACGATTTAAGTTTCTCGTCGCCGTTGTTCAGCACCGTTAAAACCGACTCGAATCTGTACGGCTGGTGCTTGGGATCCGTGGGTTTTAGCTTGGTTCCGGAGCTGTAAGCGTAGGATAAGTAGATCCCATTGCAAGAATCGGCGGCAGGTGATGGAGCAACGTCGACGGTTTGAGATGAAGAGAAGGGTAAAAGAGTGAAAATGAGTGAGAGGTTGAAGACGAAGAGCGGATTGTAGCTCTTGTTTGACGCCATGAAAATTGAGAGTTTCCGAGGAGAATGATCGAAACAACGAAAGCAAATCGAAAGCGATATTTGTAGTGAAAAGGAAACGCGTTGGATTGGTGTTCGAACAGGACAGCTTAGAAAAAGCTGGAAATTTTTTTAAATTATTAAACTCCACACGACAACGCTTTGATCGACTTTTTCATTTTTTATTGTTTAAGTTTTAAAAATTATAAAATAGTCATTAAATTTACTAAATCGATACAAAACAATCCTTAAATTGTTGAAATTATTATTTTTTACAACATTCAATGACATTTTGTAGATTATTTTATAACTTCTAGGTAACGTAGATTGAAAAAAGGTGAACAACTAAGCAGGATTTCAGGATAAACTAGGCAAAATTTCAAGATTAATATAATTTATTTTTAAACCGATGTAATGATTGATAGTGACATATTAAAATAAATTATTTTTAAAAAATTGAGAAAAAAAATTAGTAAAATTTTCAAAAAATATTAGTTTAATTTATCTTTTTGAAATAATTCAATAAATAAAATAAAATCTTAATTTAATTTCAAGATTGAAAATTGAAAACATAGGAATGCTGATTTATCAAAACCTAGGGTGGGCTGTCAACCTTCAACAAGCAAAACCCATCCCCAATCACGGTCACTAATGTTATCAAAGCCAAACTCCAAATTAGTTACTTCTGTGGAAACTTCCTGCAACATTGGATTATCATATAGATATAATAAATTATAATGCCATCAACTTGTGCTACTTAAGTTAAAATCAAATTCTAAATTCATCAATAGATCTCAGTAATTAAACGTAAGGATAAACGTTCGATCGAATCGATTTTAGTATAAAAACAATGTGAGTTATTCGAGATAATAAGTCCTATTTTATAATTTGAACTTGACTTGAAAATTTTTCAATTCAAGTTTAGTTTTTGTTAAAATTTATTATAAATATTTATAATACTATAATATTATTTTATTTCAATTTAAATAGTTTTTATAAACATATACAATACATATATATTTCTTCGTATTTTTTATGTGATATACATATATAATACAGCGTCGAGGGACTCGACTCATAAGGGTGAGTATTCGGTCGAGTCGAGTTGAGTCAAAAACTCTGAGTTATTCGAATCTATGAGTCATATTTTATGACTCGAACTTAACTTGAATTTTTTTAGCCAAGTCGAGTTTAAGAAATTTGAGTTGTTCAAGTTTCTATACAAATCTAATTGTAATAATTTATAGTACATATTTGTTCCAATTTTTCGACTTTCTCTAACTAGCTAACTATATATATATATATATAGTCATATTCTTTTCACATTATAATGTTATTTAATATATCACATACAATCTAAAATTATAAAATATATTTACAATATTATATTTTAAAGGTATTTTGAAGATAAAAGATTGATGTGAGTATTAAGGAGTTAAAGGATTGATGTGGAAAAAAAATTGCAAACAATTGTAGTCAAAAGATTAAGTATGTGGCTTAAATTTAGTCAAATACATACTTAAAATGAAGGATGAATTTAAGAAATATTTTAAAAAATAGAAAATTTGTTATCAAAAGTGGAATTGAAAATATGTATGTATTCTGTGATGGTTTATAAGCATGTGGTTGAAACTAGGTAAAAAACGACTTAAAATGAATGAGAATTTGAAGGGATATGACCAAATCACAAATATGTTAAGAATACTCATCCATGGTTTTTCGAGTTACTCAAAAATTTGAAATTCCAACTTGATTCGAACTCAAAAACTGAATTGATAATTCAAGTTAACATGAATAACTCGAAAATGATAAAAATCGATTTTTTGAGTTGAGTTTTGCTCATCTCTTTCGGCTCAAACTTGAAAATCAATACATTAATTACAAAAAAAAATCGAGTTATTCGAGTTACTATTCAAGTTACTATTCGAATTATTCGAGTTGTATTTTTATTTTATAACTCAATTTGATCTATGAAATTTTTTTGAGTCGAATTAAATTTATAAAATTACAACTCGATATCAATTCATGTTGAGTTTTTTTTAGTCGGGTAGAGTTTCGCTTACCCCGAGATACTTATTTATAATAATTTGGCCGGATTATAAAAAATCTGAGATCAAATCGTATAGTTTATTTTTTTTACAAATAATACAATTAAGTAATAATAGTACAATTTGTTTTTTTAAGTTAAATTTAAATAATATTAATAACTAGTGAAGAAAACTTTAATGTCTAAGCATAAAATTCAAGAGTTTAAATATTAAAATTAAAAATTCAAATTACATAATCTAAATATAAAATTTAAAAATCTAAATTGCATTATTCAAAGTCTTAACATAAAACTTAAAGTTTTTAATATATATTAATAAAAAAATATAGTTCATTGACGATCATTTCTTACCAACCTAAACATTACCTCAAATCATCTACTTAAAATTTAATATTATATTTACATGTGATGTCTAAACATCATCCTTTTTATCAATGAAAATTGTAGATTGCTCCAAAATCAAATCATACATATAAAAAAATATTTTAAATATATAATAATATTATAATAACATATATTTAGAAATAATAATATTTAAATATTATAAAATAAAAAAAAAATCAAATTCAAATTCTCAACTTCAGCGTATATTTGGAAAAAGGTCTAAAATAAAAAAAATTATTTAAAAGGTCTAAAATAAAAAAAAATATATTGTCTGAGTTATCGAGCATCTATCTTAAATACCAATATAAAACAATAATAATTAATATTATATTGAAAATTTTAAAATTCAAATTCTCCACTTCAGCGTATATTTGGAAAAAGATTTGAATCCCCACCACACAAAAAAAAGAGTAATTTCCACTTTATGCTGTTTGGCGCCTCAGAAAATTTCATTTGCCCTTTTTCCTGTCAGCCTTATCCTTAGTTCCTCACTATCCTTCTCTTCCCTTTTCTGGGATCCAAAGCTGGTACTGAAACTGGGAATTTCCCCTTTTGAACAAATACATATAAACCACACGTTCATAACGAGAACGTCAAATTACTAATACAATTTGATTAAGAAAATCAGAATTAAAAACCTCCATTTTCTTACACTTTCCTTCCTCAAACCCAAAGATATATAGAGTTAGCCAACACTAAAAAGAACTACAAATTAACCAAAGATTACACTTGAAAACGGTTAGATACCCATCACAGAGCCTATTATGTTCGTTCTAAAATATATATTCCACAAATTAAGCATAAACAGAGCCGTACGATAGCGCCATTAAAAGGACTGCAGCTTGTTCTTCCTCTCCTAACTTTCTTCTTTGCTTCTCAACCTTTGATCTTTGCATCAGAACTTCTCTCCGTAAATATAGCAATCTTTGCTTCAAATTATCGCCAAAATTTTTATTGTTTCCCTTCTTTGATTTCTTGTATTCTCCTTTGTTTAATCCCATAATTGCTCTCCTCTTTTTCCTGCTTCTGATTCCACACGCATTGCATAGTGACTGTAAAACAAACAGAAAAAAATAAGATTAAACGCCAAATCAGATCAAATCAAAGTGAAATAAACGTCAAAATGGGTTTGAACAAAAATACCTTGGGGCCAGCTGGGCCTCCTCTCCAAAGGGGAGTCTTAGAGGTACCGCAATCGGCACAATTCTTCTTTGTTTCAATGCTAATGGCTTGATCTAGCGATTCTTCTGGTGAAATACACTCTGGGTATTTCTTGTTTCGATCTTGAGAAACTGATCCCTGCAAAAAAAAACCCCAAGAAAACAGAGAATCAGCTAAGAGAAATGGGAAGACGAAGTACAAGAACGAATCGAATAAGGTAATGAGAGATAAATCACTCACTTTTTCACTTTGATCCGACATTTTTACTTCATATTCCGAAGATCTGAAACCAACCCAAGTTCTTAAACACGAAGAGTTAGAATGGGCAGTGAGAATAAAAGCTGATTGGATAAGAAAATAAGGTTAAAGAGATCAGATAAATGGATGTTTTGGGAGGAAATTGAAGGAAAGTGACAATAAATAAACCGACATGAAACAACACACGAAGGGCGGATCTAGATACCGCTTTTATAAACTGGATGGGAAACCCTAGATCCGAGCATATGAAATGACGAAAATACTACTGGTAGGTATAGTATTTATCGTTTGTTGCCACCCGCCAAATTCCCTAATAATTGTCCATGAAATGAACAAAAAGGGCGTCATTGTTCTTTTTGCCTTCATTTGTTTCTGTTTTGGGCTCCAAATTTTTAATTTCGTTTACTGTTTGTTTTCCCGGAAAAAAATTGGATTTGAAAGAGGTCATTTTTATTCGGTTAACTTACGTGAATAATTTTTTATTATTATTAAAGTAAAAGATGTTTTAAAATTTTAGTTTAAAAATAGCATTTTTAATATTATTATAAAATAAAACATCATAACATCAATTGTTAAAAGCAATTTTTTAAATAATTACTATGATCCGATTTATTGATAGACTAATTCAGATTAAATATTGCATAATAAGAGTGACCCCCTCAACTTAGTTTATTCATTTCACAAACCCCAAGATTTTAATTCTTAACCTTACTTAAATAATCTAGTACGTCGCTTTACTAAACCAATTAATTGTTGGTAGTTAAAAATAATTTTTTAATATTATATTAAAATAAAACTCATTTATTATTATTATTATTATTATTATTATTATCCCATATGATTTGAAACAGTATTGACCTTTTTAAGTTTGAAATTGTACTTTTGATAATTAAACTCAAAATTGTTAATGTTGGGCATATGAAAGTCAAAAGAAATAGAATAATTAAACTCAAAATTGTTAATGTTGGACCCTAATCATATTTATATTTATTGTCTTCAATCTTTTTTTTTCATTAATAATATCGGATGATTATAATATAGTATATATTCAGAAGTTTTTTAACCAATCGACGACATACATACATGTTACAGACGTAATTACTTAAACTCAAAATCTATATAGACAATAACATTCTTTTTACCATAAAGTCACTTAATGTTTTATCATCAATCTTTTTATTTAATAAGCCATCCAAGGTGAAATTATTCCAATAATATGATGCTTTTTTTTTACAATATAAGATGTAAAAAAATATTCAAATAGGATACTTGTTACGAAATCCATTAAAAATTGTCAGTATTTTATAATGATTTTTGAAAAATACTTAGACCATTGAACGGGTCCTAGAATACCGTTAGTTTTTCATATCATCGTACATAAAATATAAAGAAAAAGTCTTACAATCCAAATAATTTTCAAAAATTATAGTGTACTTCAAACGACTTTTAATAAAAGTTGTAATAAATATATTAGTTGAAAATATTTTTTTTCATAGTCTATAGGATCAATTTTTCTTTCAACACAGTATTCAAAGAATTTTGTCAATATAAAATATTAAAAATCTAAATTGTTATAAAATTATTTCAAACTATGATATAAAATATATATTATAAGTCACATTATATTATAACAAAAATAGGATAAAGGAAGGAGCAACTGGTTTTTGTGGTGCACAAAACTCAAAGCCAATGACAAGTGAGTATCAAACAGCTGTTAAAATGAAACAGTCCATTGAAACATTCTCAAACAAGTCAATATTTGTCGGTAAGAAAATGACTCCACCCATATCTATTTCGATTTACTTTTTTAATTTATTTTTTATATAATGGTTTGTTTATATAGATTAATTCGGTTAAATTAATAAAATATTGTAGTTGAAATTCCTTTATTTTATAATGATTATTAAAATGATTAGTAATTGAAATCGATCTTAACAAAATTATTTGTAGTTTCTAGTAACTTTATTTTAAATTTTTTATATTTTTAGAATCAAACTAAAAAAAATATTAAAAGTATAATAATTATAATAAAATTCTCAAGAATACATTCAAAATAATTTTTTAAAATTAAATTCATTTAAAACTGATTTCTTAAAATACTTATTTTAGTTCCTCCACTTTTTTATATTTTAATTTTAAAATATAAAAGTAAAAACAAAATAAAATTATCGACGTAACACTCACTTCACTATTATTTTTTCTTTTATACTTTTAAGATCAAATTTAAAGGATATTAAAAGTATATAATTTAAAATAGAATTTTATATTCTATAATAAAATGAAACGATGAGTTAAAAAATCGCCCAAAATGATTTTTGAAAATTTAGTTCACTTAAAATTAATTTCTGAATTTTTTTAGTTCTTTTACCTCTCTTTTTTTACAATTTAGTTTCAAAATATAGATTTATAAAAATTTTATACTCGATATATATATTATCTAAATGTATCTAAGAATAACTTTGAAGCTCAATTAAATTTAAAAACTTATTCAACACAAAAAATTGCTTAAATAATGACAAAATCAAGAGAAGAGACAGTTTATTAACACTATTTTTCGTTATTATCATTATTGAAGATAAAAGTATTTTATTATCTTATTTACATGATTTAATGAAAAATTTTATTTAAAAAAATAAATATTTGAAGTAAATGATAATTGTGAAAGGCACGTGATTTTCTCCATAATCATAGGACTTAATTTTTCAAAAGACTGGAAAAAAAATGACTGACTAATTAAAATTTATCTTTTTTTCAACAAACAAAACCCAACTACTTCCTTAATATTCCGTACATAGAAAATACACACACGTAAAGACATGCTGTTAATTTCTTTAATTCTTCTGGCAAATAGAGAAACCATAAAATGAGGTTTATCAATACTCAGTACTCAAACTCTATTTCATGTGACATGGGACAAGCAAATAACGACCGAAACAAATTCAGACACAAATACAAGGCAACTACCGCAACCCACATAGCCATTTGAGTGGAAGGGCCATACTTATACAATGATAAAAACTCATGGAACCTCCCATGGCATTAGGTTGCACCAGTTCACATGTAATTTTATTGCTCTCACAACAGTAATCACTCCCTTCGTATTCGGATATACCATATTTTCATAGACTTACCTCGGTAACTCGTTCATCACAGTGAAAACCGGACCAACTAGATAACTGGACACATTGAGGTGTCCTGACCAAACTCAACCAAACTTTGACTCCAAGTATCAATCATTACCCCATTACGAACTGATTGCTTCATCAGACCGGCTGAGACCTGCGATAGAATTAACAGTCAATTTCAGCAAACAATTAAAGAAACAACCCTTCGAGTTCGGGGTTAAATCCGATGAAAGAATACAAACCCTCAACTGAAGTTGAATCCACCAGATGGAACTTTAACATCATTTCCTCCAAACTGGAAATTTTGTTGAGTACCATCACCAGGAGGCACTGTCTCTTCATCCTCCTCCAACCAGTAAGTCTCGAGAATCTTGACTGCCTTCTCATAGATCTCGTTATTGTCGTGACTCTGTAGATTTTCAATCTTCTCTAATCCCTCGGCATCTTCTATCAACTGGGCACAATAGTTAAGCTCTCCGCCACCAGCAGCCTTCTCAGCTTCACCGACCTTCAGAATATTCTCCAACCCTTCTAGACAGACTGTTATAATTCTTGGATCGGGGCATGCTAGGAGATCACACAAAGGTCTTATGCATCCTTGACTGACCAGGTACCTACATGTTCACATCAGGACAATGATTTAGTGGTTGGTTCAATAAGAACGGAACCAAGGAATCAAAACAGGAAAACAGATAAGTTGAACAAATAACATACTTGATTTGATCGTGAGTGCCACCAGAGGTAGCATTTGAAATTGCCCATGCTGCTTCTTTCTTTATATCAAATTCAGCACTTTGAAGTAGGTTCACCATGGGACCAATTATCCCAGCATTGATCACATCCTAGAATAATTTTAAATATAATGATAAACATAGCATAAGCGAGAAGTCCAGTAGTAAAAGGAGCAGCAAATAAATAAATTCAGACGATTAGAAACATGTTTGAAGCAAATATTGCCATAATTTCTCACCTGAATCTGTTCCTTGTTTCCGGCTGTAATGTTTGAGATAGTCCAGCAAGCCTCCTTTTTTATGCTCTTTTTATGGTTATGGGTCAACAGGCTCAAAAGGCATGTTAATGCACCATGGTCAATAATACACTGAAAATGAAGGCCATGAAGTCATAAAAGAATAAAATAAAAACCAGCAGAAGCAGAAAGCAAAAAAATTAAGAACGAATCAGAATCTTAAACTGTACCTGAGTCTGTAAATCATCTCCCGTCACAATATTTCCGACTGTACGGAGAGCGGGAATGAGCACTGAAGGAGACGAACTACTGCAAAAAAAATGTAAAAACCATTTGGTTCACAGAAAAATAAAGAAGACAACCCAAAGATGGTTTTAGGTGTTCTACTCACAGTAGGAGCTCAACAAGACGTGGGCAAACTCCTGCCTCAATCACAGCTTGAATTTTGTCATTTGTGCCATCAGACAGATACGATAGAGCCCAACAGGCATCAGTGAGAACTTCTTCATCATTTGAATGAATGAGACGCTCAAGTGCAGGAAGGGCAGGACTCACCTAGCCAACAGATATACAACATTTAAAAGCTCAATTAAAAACACAACATAAAGATGGGTATAAATGACAATGCACGAAAAAGATGAAAACTTGATCAAATGGAGGTTGTGGCTTGCCCCTGCAGAAATTTGATAATGTCCAGGTCGCATTTCTCAGCATTGACAACTTCGAGTGTTCATTCAACTGTGCTAACAGCGGCATCAAGGCCCCATGACTGAGAACAAGATCACGACATCTAGGGGAATCTCCAGCAACATTCCCTAATGCCCACACTGCCTAAATATTTACAAACATATCACTCAATACAAAGCTCTTTATCATCATTACTAGTTAAAACAACAATATTCTAAAAATTGCAAGTCTCAAACCTACTTCAATTAGGATAAAACTTCAAAAAAATATACCTGCTCACGGACATCATCACTTGGGGAAGCAAGAAGCTTTACAATATAGGAACAGCCCCATGATCAATAACTACCTTTGTATTCTCAGATGTTCCAGAAGCAATATTTGTAAGTGCCCAAGCAGCCTCAAACTTCATGTTTTCCAAATAGACCAATGGTTATTAGCAATCAAGAAGCAACATTTGCAAACTCCCAAGCAACCACAAAATACAAAATTTCCCGTTATATCACCAATAATAGCATACAATTAAACCCAAAATATGGGTTTTAACAATCAAGAACTTATACCTGAAGCTGGGGGAAATCTTCCCTCATAAGAAACTCAACAAAGCGAGGAACGACGCCAGACTGTATCACTTCCTCAATTGGAGGACTCCGCTCTGTTTATTAAAAATTCAAGTTTCCTTCAACAACTTGGTTAACAATTAACAAAAAAAAAAGATAAAAATGTATAAAAAAAATTACCAATTGAAAGCAATTTCCGAAACTGAGTTGTTGCTTCTAGATGCGCTGCGCCGTCAGCAGACCAAACGCCGGCAACCATCGAAGGGAGACTCTCTAACTGCAATAACAAAACCCCAAATCAATAAAATTTCAGGGGTAAAGAAAGCATAAGTTGGAAATTTTGCTTAAGCGATTTTTAGATTACTTTTTTCTCGACGTTGGAAGACTGAAGAGTAGCGGACAATTGTTGAGCTTGGAGACCTTCGCGACGCTTCTTCTGCAGACTCTCTTCGCGCTTGCTTTTACGGATTTCAACCATGTTGTCTTCCCTTCTACGGCGACCTTCCTCCGCGTCAACCGCCACCTTGTAGCGGTTACGGCGGACCTCCGTTCTAGTGCTCGGTCTCAAAGACATATTCGGCGGCTGCTTTTTCAAAAACGAAACCAGGGAAAGGACAACGTCCAAGAAATTTGAGATTTTATAGAAATGGATCGAAAGAAGAAAAACCCTAGGGAAATTTGGGATTTTGAATTTTTATATATTAATGTTTTTTAGGAGAGAAGTTTAAATCATTAAATCAAAAAGAGAAAGTTGCAAGAGTGGGTTATATTTCTTTTTCATTTTAATAGTTATTGATTTTCAGGTTCGTTAAATATAATTATTATAAATTTTAATCATTTAATTACGCTAGTAAGTATAATATAATTATATTTTAAATCCTCATTTCATATTTAATTATATGAATTTTAAATAATTTTAATTTTAAACTATACAAATCATTTTATAAATATCTTAATATTTAAAAATAAATATTAATATTATAAAATTATAAATTATAGAAATAAAATAAATTATAAGCAAAATTAAATAAATAATTACGCTGCAATTTTTTGATAGGAAAACTATATGCAAAACTGAAAACAAAATATCGATTATGTTAATATTATAAAAATACGTATTATAAAAAATAGGTTTTTCTGATAGCAAAATCGATCTTTTTATAATATTATAACTATAAGCAAAATTATAATTTATAATTATAAGCAAAATCGATCTTCTTCTTTTTTACCTATTATGAAGATGGAGCTTTGATTTCGTTAGCTTTATAAGCTTTATTCTCTCGCTCACCGAAAAAAAAAAGCAAAACAAAACAAAAAAAAATCATATAAGAGTTATACAATAATTTTTTTAATTTGAATTAGTCATGTAAACGAACCGAATGAACACGAACAAGGTATGTTCATATTTGTTCGTTTAACTTTAACTGAATAAATCAACAAACACAAACATAAACGAACGAAAAATGTATTATTCGTGTTTGTTTACTAAGGAATGTAGCTTGTTTGTGATCGTTCATTTAAATGATAAACGAACACAAATGAACGAACATAAACGAACACAATAAACGAACGCGAACGAATACAATAAACGAACATAAATGAAAATATATATTTTATTTCCTAACAATTTTAGGATTATATTTTATTTACTTTTGAGCTTTTTTAGTTGTATTTAAAATTAATTGAATTTTAAAATATTTATGTGTATCAAATTAAAATTTATTAGGCTTTAATATTTTTAATGGGTCTAGAGAGATTGACCTAAACATAAATGAACGCACATAAACGAACATATTACTGAACGTTCACGAGCGTAAATGAACGAACGAGCCTTCTGTTCATGTTCGTTCATTTAATTAAACGAACAAAAAATATTGTTCATGTTCGTTCGTTTAATAAATAAACGAACATAAACGAACTTCCGGCCGAACGATTTACGAACGATTCGCTGAACGTTCGGTTCGTTTACCTGCCTAATTTGAATAATTATAAGTAAACAATTTAATATATATATAACTTTAGACCTTCATAATACATATAACTTTTTTTAGGAATATACATAACTTATTAAGAAAGCTCAATTATTATCCTATCAAACGACGCAATGATATTAATTAACCTTCAAAATCATTCCTTCTATTTAAAAGCGTTAAATTAATGCTTTTATTGTTCCGAGGAAGGGATTAACCTTATTTCAAATTGTACATTAGATAGACAGTTTTAGAATATTCCGAGAAATTACGAATTTCTTAAATCAAATTTAAACTGTATTTTTATTTTTTTTATTCTCGTTGATGATAATAAATTGAACTTATCATTTTTATATTTTATTTCTTTCGACGTAAATAGAATACAGTTGACAAAGGAACAACTATTGATCGATATTTTTATGTTGAAAAGAATTATTCATATAAAATAAAAAAAAAGAATATAAATATTATGAAAGTTTCAACTCATTTCTCAATTGTGTTGAAAAGTATTTATAATGTTTTAGCTGATAACACAAAATTATATGACATTAACATCGATAAAACTAAAAAAACATAACACCATACGAAAAAACAATTCAAACCCACAATGATACATAAATCATTAGAGTATACAGACTTGTATGAATATACTATCCAAGTTACAACTTACTCATCTTCACGGGTCCCAGTTGTTTTGCCTTTGCTCTTAACACATGCTTTTGGATCTTACCTGTAGCTGTCTTCGGCAATGGACCAAACACCACCGATTTAGGAACCCAGTAAGCCGGCATTTTCGACTTGCAAAACTTCATTATGTCCTCCGCTAACTGCTGCTCTTCCGATTTGTCAACCTCCACTTTCAAAGTCACGAAAGCGCAAGGTGACTCTCCCCACCGTTCATCGGCCCTGGCTACCACGGATGCCTCCAACACCGCAGGGTGTAGGTATAGACTATTTTCTACCTCAACACTGCTGATGTTTTCACCTCCGGATATGATGATGTCCTTTGATCTATCTTTTATTTCAATGTACCCATCTTGGTGTTTCACACCGAGGTCCCCAGAGTGAAACCAGCCATCCGCGAATGTCTCCTCATTTGCTTTCGGGTTCTTTAAGTAACCCTTCATCACAACATTTCCGCGCATCACTACTTCTCCCAAAGTTTTTCCATCAGCGGGGACAGGCTCACATGTTTTGGTATCAATGACGTCTAGTCGTTCTAAAGTGGTGTATCGAACTCCTTGACGTGAATTTAGAAGAGCCTGAGTTTCATCCGGAAGTGAGTCCCACTCGGGCTTCCATGCACAAATCGTAGAAGGACCATAGGTTTCTGAGAGACCGTAAGTGTGAGTGACTCGGAAGCCTTTCCGAGACATTGCGAAGAGAACAGCAGGAGGCGGGGCAGCACCGGCTGTCATTACTTGAACAACATGTGGGAGGGGTAGAATGGTGTCCTCAGCTGGGGCATTAACTATGGTATTAAGCACCACAGGTGCACCACAGAAATGAGTCACGCCATACTTTGCTATAGCCGAATAGACTCCCTTTGCTGTTACCTGCAGATACAAAGCACTACTGTATTTAACACCAGTGTCTTATAAATTCACGACTCCGACATTTACATCTAAGTAAAGCAACTATTGTGCATCAAAATTACCTGTCGAAGACATATGTTTGTTCCACAAAGAGCTGCAAGTGCCCAAGTGAAACACCAACCATTGCAGTGGAACATAGGGAGAGTCCACAAGTATACAGCTCCTTCATTCATTCCCCATACAAGAGGATTACCCAAAGACATTAAATACGCCCCTCGGTGATGTAAAACAACCCCTTTCGGGCTGGCGGTCGTGCCCGACGTATAACCCAATGATATACTTTGCCACTCGTCCTTGGGAGGTTTCCAAGCGAATTCAGGGTCACCACTTTCTAAGAACTCCTCGTACTCGATGGCTCCTTTTTGCAAAGCGTACCTGAGTTCTTCGGGATCACAGAATTCGTCCCCTACGACAACCAGAAGCGGAGGCTTGAAATGGCCTTGGCTTTCTTCCTTCATGATTTTCAAAGAATCCTCTGCTAAAGTGAAGAACTCTTGGTCCACAATGACAATGGCAGATTGTGAATGGCCCAAGAGGAAAGCGATGGTTGAAGCATTTAGTCGAATATTTACTGGGTTTATAACAGCACCACACATGGGGATTCCAAAATGAGCTTCGTAGGTCGCAGGGATGTTTGGTGCAATCACAGCTACCTGCCAATAGTTCAAAATAACTGAACAAGTCAAATACATAAAGAATTAAGAGCAATTGAATCACTAAACTTCCATAAAAGCATTTCTTCCTTTAAATATACGAAAAACTTCAAAATTAAAGTTATAACACATTCATATCGAACATATGTAGAGATTCATATCCGAAGCTCAATAACCATTCTCGGTACTATAATAATTTGTTATTAAAAATTAAACATTTCCAGCGTTTTTCTAATAGAGTAATTGCTAGAGTTCCACCAGATTTCGATCTGATTCAAATTGAGTCGGGAAAATGGAAAAACAGGAAATTTAGTTTGATTTAAGACAATTAGTCTATTCCATTTTATATTAATTGAGAGTAATAAACATAATTTGACTAATGTAATTAGTTAATTATCTTGTTTATAAATATTAGAGTTTATGGTTAGATGTGAAGTTTTATTTTTCTATTTTTGATATTAGTAAAATTTCTCCACTTCTATTTGTTATTTTTTCTAAAAATATTTTCTACGTAAAATCTTAATATCTATTTTATTATTCAGTCAATATTATTGTTGTTATCTTTCAATATTAATACATTTGGCAACTGCAACAAGACCATCACCAAATATTGACTAAAGTAAACAAATCTATCCATATGCATAGGGACGAAGCTAAAAGTATCACGAACAATGTGTGTGTACGTGTGTATTTAAAGAAATATATATAGAAAAAAATTAAGACAATATTCATCAATCAATCCAAAACATACCTTAGTATTTAACAATTTACAAACCTAAATTTGAAATTAGTAAACATCAATCTCTTTATACTGCAACTAAAAAAGTTGGAAAGCGGACAAAAAATCCATAAGATTCCTTTTCTTTTTTTCATTTCATTCTCTTTGTTTGTTTGTTTTTTTCTACTCGGCAAGTAAAGCATGACTAGAAACGCATGAACTACGAGGGGATATTTAGATTACCGTGCTACCGACTCCGACGGACCGTTTAGACAGAGCCGACGCCAAACGACGGCAACGCAGATAAGTTTGGAGCCACGTGTAAGTACGAGATCCATGGACCACCGATTTTCTGGTCGGATGAACCGTGGCGGCTCTTTCCAAGAACCACAACGGCGTCAACGCGGTGTAGTTTGCGGCGTTCTTCGGAAGATCGTCGATATCTCTGATCTCCATCACCGTCGATTCACCAACTTTCTCAGTTGTAATTTTTTTTCCTTGTTTGGCTCAATTTTTGTTGTTGGACTTTTGGGGCATATTCCTGAAGAGATTGTATTTATTACGGAGAATAGTGTCTAAGGCGCCACGTGAAGTGTTGAAGAAAATATTATACTTTTATTTATCTATTAAATATCCATTTATCTATAATTTCATTAAATTAATATAAAAGTATCATTCAATATTTTTTACAATAAATATAGTTATAGAAAACAAAATATTAATAAATTACTCATAAATCATTTTCTTAAAAAAAATCAACTGCTTATCACATGGTTAGAATTTCAAAATTTGTTGTTGTGATTGAGTTTAAAAATAACTTTTAAATGTATTTTTTCTTCTTCAGAAACAGCCTAGCTATTTCTTCAACGACCTTATTGCATTCTCGAGGGATATAAGTATTTTCAGGGGATTGTTTCAGGAAAGTCGGGTTAATATACGGTTAATATATGGCAGTACCAGATACATTAAAATGTATTTAATAAATTCGGTTTAGTGGTATCTATTATGTAGACAACTAATAATGTTTTAGGTAGAAAATATGAAAAACTATTAAAAAATTTGGTAACCGGTAAACTTTGGTTATCGGTAAGTATCTATCATTTTATAAAGTGTACATACTTTTACTTTTAACATATCAAGTAAATTTACCGGTTTTGTCATAATAAATCTGGTTTTGTCATATTTTTACCTGTTATATTGTAAAGTATCTATCCTTTTTATAAAAGTGTCTATACTTATTTCACTGTGAAAATATATTTATTATTATCTTTGGTTAATATTGTTAAATTTAAATTCTAAATAATATTTTATAAAATATCAAAACAATCAAATAATTTTGTGTGTACATGAAATTATTAAATTAATATTGTAGGTGAAAAACATGAAACACTATTAAAAAAAATTGAAACATAAATTACATAACTTTAAAAAAGTATATATCATTTTTATAAAAATGTTCATACTTATTTCACTGTGGAAAACATATTTATTATTATCTTTGGTTAATATTGTTAAATTTAAATTATAAATAATATTTTATAAAATATCAAAAAAATCAAATAATTTTTTGTGTAAATGAAAATATTAAATTAATATTGTAGGTGGAAAACATGAAACACTATTAAAAAAAATTGAAACATAAATTACATAACTTTAAAAAATATATATATCATTTTATAAAAGTGTCCATACGTATAAAAGTAGGTCTAAGTCATGAAGAAATATTAAAAAATTGTGCTACCGGTTCGTGTCGATCCAAATAAAAAATGTGTCGATCCAAAACGATATAACAGGTAAAACTATGACAAAACCGGTATAGAAATGATAAAATCGGTAAAACGTTACCGGATACATTGAAAGTGTCGGTACTTTAATATAAGGATCGACACTTTGTGAATTTAAAAGAGAAGCAGTTTTAAATCCTATAAAGTGTCGATACTTTTAAAAAATATATCGATCCACAACGATATAACAGGTAAAAATATGATAAAACCGGTATCAAAATGATAAAACCGGTAAAATGATACCGGATATATTGAAAGTGTCGATACTTTCGTAAGTACGTGTAATAAATTATCGACACTTTCAAAGAAATAGGTAATTATCCTTTCGAAAGTATCGACACCTGACATAAAAGTATCGACACTTTTGTATTTGTATCGATTAAATATAAAACATATCCGATGAAATATAAGCTAAATATCCTCTGAAAATAGATAGAACGGACAAGTTTTTGAAATCGAAGCGTAATTGTTGTTGCATTTCAGAAGGCGTTTCTAAAGCGAAGTTTGTTTGTTGCTGCAGTCGAATCGAAAAGTATGTTGTCGAAGCCCTAATTTTTTATTATTACAGTAATCGCGATAGGGTTTTTATGTGTTGTTTGGGGTTTTGGAGTAAAGAAGAATTTGGGAACGATTGCAGGTAGAAAGTGATATTCAAGGAAAAATATAAATGTCGATACTTTTATTAAATATTATAGGTAGAAAATGATATTATAGGTTGTATAAATGTGCCGACACATTTTGGTGTGGCCATTCAAATTCTTTTGAAGAAAACCGTTTTACCACAAGAGTAGTTATCTATATTTGTATATTGAATAAAGTGTATGTAACAAAATAATTTGATTTGCGTAAACTGATATATGAAGGAAAAATGGAGTCAATGGGTTGGAAAATTGTTGGTGGAGCAGATGACTTTGAAATTGAGGCCGAGACTCGAAAGCAACCCAAGGGTGGATATATGTACTTCTAGTAAGTATCAATGTCTTTTTGTTATTATTGTTGAAATGGTAATTGGATTAAAGTATCGATAAACTTTAAATTGATTACAAATTTTAAATGTTGACAGTATGGCCGAATGCAAAAGGATGAAGGAAGATGGCACACAGAGCGGTTCGGTATGTAAAATGAAATTGAATTTGAGTAGTATTTAGTGTTAATGTATTGATTAAGAAACGTTTATGTTTTATATTAGGTGACAAAAGATGTGAGATCCAAATGGAATTCAATGAGTGATGCTGAAAAGGAACCTTACATCACACAATCAAGGAATGATAGTAAAGAATACAAAGAACGGAGGAAAGCACATGAAAATAAGGTATTCATTAAACTTGTAAATACGTTGGTACAAAATATATAAGAACTATAACATTATATATTGTTAAAAAATGTAGGAAGTATCGACAAGATGCAGCATTAAAAGGGTGAATTTATTAATTAAACACCTTAAGGAGAAGGGTCAGTTGAATGTGCTGGGAGAAATAGGTTTTGGATCGTTGGTAGGAGTAAGGGATCGACCTATTCGGAGGGAATTGTGTCGATCCTTGATGGCGCAATTTGATGTCAGGCAATGTATTGCTAAATATGGTGATTTTTCATTTCCTCTCGGGATCCCATGTGCTGCAGCCGTATTGGGGGTAGAAAATGAAGGCAAAAGTGTTGTAGAAGTTTGTAATAGTAAGGACTGGAAAGCACTTGCCTCCAAATATGGTTTGAAGCATAAGGTGACATATGCTGAAATTGAAGAGGAAATAAAAAGTAGATCTTACGTTGGGGATGAGCTGAAGGCCAGAGTTCTATTATACCTTGTCGGTATCTTTCTTTGTCCAACGGGTAATACGTCAACGAACAAAGAACATATGAAGCTCATTTGTGATGAAGGCTTGAAGGGTGAATTCAATTGGGCTGAATATATCCATTCGAGATTGATTAAATCAATAATCACCTTTAAAAAGGGCAGCCAGAGATACCTCAAAGGGTGCATAGCAATCTTAGAGGTAAATGAGTTGAAGAACTTTTTTGTGTTTTTATATAAAAATATAAATTTTATTATAAATGCAGGTTGCACTGTTCGATTTTTGGTCGGGCTGTGAGGCAGTGCCGACTTATGAAAGAACCGGAGTGGCACGCATCCGTGCATGGGGGAAGGAAGAGGTGGTTAGAGTGATGGTGAAGTTGAAGTTGGATAGAGCGAAGAAGCAAGAAAGGGTAATAAATGTAATTAAATAATATTAAGAATATAATCAATGTCTTAATATTGTAATTTAATTTTGAAGTTTATTGGCAAGGATGTAAAGGAGGCAGTGGAGGCAGAGGAGAAGAAATGAGGGATGGTTGTATTGGGGGATGACGGTGAGTGGGACGATGGTGAGGGAAAACGTAGTAACTTCGACATTTTGATGTCTGAATTGGCTGATATCAAAAAAATCCAATTTGAAATCATGCAAAGACAATCAAGAGTCGAAGAGAAACTTGAGAGAGTCGAGATACACTTGAGAGGCATAAGGGGTAGTGGAAGGAAAAATAGATGGAGTGGTGAAAGAAGTAGAGGTGTGAGGGGTGAAGTGGTGAAAGAAGTTGGGGTGTTAAGGGGTGATATTAAGATGGTGACGGGTGAAAATTTGAGGAGTGGTGAAGGAGGTTGTGGAATTGAGGAGTGAACTTACGGGGGTGAAGGGGTGGTTGATAAATACTTGGATGAAGGAGATCAATTGAAGGGTGAAATAAAAGAGATGAAGAGCTATGTAGAAAAAATACGATGAACTGAAAATATGAAGAAGAAAAGAGGGAGGAGAAGAAGAAGAGATGGAAGAAATGAGGAGGAAGGAAGTCAATGTCATTTATACACCGGAGAGTGTTATAGCAGCAGATTTGGATTCGGAATGTCCTGCACCCCAGAAGAAGAAGCAGAAGGTAAGTTGAATAAAAGAAAACTTTTGAGTGAGTTTTATTATGTTGTTGTGACAAAAATTTGTATGCAAAATTGTAGGTTGAAAAAGCGGATATTCCAAGCGGAATTGATGACATCGAAGCTGCAATTTGTGATTATTTATGGAATAGCGAGTTAGAATCGGAGTAAGTGAAATATATTGTTTTGTGAGTGATATTTAAATATTTCATGACAACATATTAATCCTAATGATTCATACATATATTCTGTAATCTCAATGGGAAATCAATTCGCTACTGTATACGACGTTGCAACGTTGAAGCCTACGGAATGGGTTGGCGGTGTGGTAAGTAGAAAGTAGAAAATGTTTAAAACTTATTGAATATGTTCTGATTGTGTAATTAATTTTGTTAGGTTATCGATTTGCTCGCCTGGACAGTATGCTACGATTCTCAAAAGTCACTCCGGAGGATTGGCTACCTTCCATACCTCTTAGCGGTGAGTTAAATTAATAAATGTTGAAAAGTAGTGTTATAGACGGTAAATTAATAATGTTTGTTGCGTAATTGCAGCAACAGGCGTTGGATGCCAACAACAAAGAAAGTGTTGAGGGTATTGCTAGCTTATGGGGTCTCATATTGGATAACTATGTGAAATTCATCGACTGTGAGAAGGTAAGACACCATACCAATTGCAAATGATGTTTTCGGATATAGAATGTTGAATTTTGTCAAATTGGGTGTGAAATTTGTTGCAGATCATGATCACAATAAACTACCATAATTCACATTGGTATCTGTTGGTGTTGGATATGGTAGATCGTGTTGCAACAATATATGATAGTATGTTTACAACTGAAGCAGCTAAACTGAGAGTGAAGGATGCTAAGAGATTGGTATGTATGTATGTATGAAAGGACATTATGTAAATTATAATGCATAATTTTTTTGGTGCATAACTTCTTCTATTTTAATGCAGATTAAAATATTAGATTCTTATAATAAGAAACGCATTTGGGTTGAATCCTGTGGATCTCTAGGAAAGTATCCCTTGAAAAATTTCAAATTTGTGGAGCATAAGAAGAATAAGCAATTAAATAGGTATGAGATGTTATCACAAATAGAAAGCTTAATTTATGCAGTATTCATCATAATTGGCATGTGTGGTTTTCAAATTTTGTAACAGACATGATTGCGGCATGTATGTGATGATGTGGATGGAATCGATCGGTTCTACAGGGCAACTGGTGATTTTGTAAGTGGATAGAAAAATTCGTTTGTGGTAAAATTGTTAAAAGTCGTAGATTGAATGCTGTAGTTGACAGTACTTAACGTTCTGACAATTTGAATATAGGTTGTTGGAGACTGGGATCGATCGCGAATATTAAACGATCTCGTAAGCTACAATCAAAATGAACGAAGACAGGAGATAACAAAAGCTGCCATATTACATAAGAATAACAAAAGGATGCAATGATGTAAATGTAGGGTTAATTTTGTATAAGATTTATAATTTTGTATACGATTATATTTTGTATGTGAATATAATTATGAATGAGATGAGAAAAGTTAGCCGTATGTTGTTGTACATGTTTCTTATACAATTAAGGGTCATGTTGATACTTTGAAGTAAAAGACAAATTACAATATGGCCAACAGGGTGCAACCATAAAGTGTCGAACCATATATAAAAAGTGTCGATCCCAAAAACATCGAAAACCAAAAGTATAATGTAATATGTAATTTTTCAATCTAACTGGTACAAGTATACCGGTTTTATGAGAGAATATGTCTAAATAATGTGTCGACACTTTTTTAGTTTGTGTCGATATTTTTGTTCCAGAATGAATGGCCAACAGGGTGCAACCATAAAGTGTCGATCCATATATAAAAAGTGTCGATCCCAAAAACATCGAACCCAAAAGTATAATGTAATATGTAATTTTTCAATCTAACCGGTACAAGTATACCGGTTTTTTTGAGAGAATATGTCTAAATAATGTGTCGACACTATTTTAGTTTGTGTCGATATTTTTGTTCCAGAATGAATGGAAAACAGGGTGCAACCATAAAGTGTCGATCCCAAAAACATCGAACCTAAAAGTATAATGTAATATGTAATTTTTCAATCTAACAGGTACAAGTATATCGGTTTTATGAGAGATTATGTCTAAATAATGTGTCGATACTTTTTAGTTGGTGTCGATATTTTTGGTCCAGAATGAATGGCCAACAGGGTGCAACCATAAAGTGTCGATCCATATATAAAAAGTGTCGATCCCAAAAACATCGAATCCAAAAGTATAATGTAATATGTAATTTTTCAATCTAACCGGTACAAGTATACCGGTTTTTTAGAGAATATGTCTAAATAATGTGTCGACACTATTTTAGTTTGTATCGATATTTTTGTTCCAGAATGAATGGAAAACAGGGTGCAACCATAAAGTGTCGATCCATATATAAAAAGTGTCGATCCGAAAAACATCGAACCCAAAAGTATAATGTAATATGTAATTTTTTAATCTAACCGGTACAAGTATACCGGTTTTATGAGAGAATATGTCTAAATAATGTGTCGACACTTTTTAGTTGGTGTCGATATTTTTGGTCCAGAATGAAGTGAAAACAGGGTGCACCTATAAAGTGTCGATCCCAAAAACATCGAACCCAAAAGTATAATGTAATATGTAATTTTTCAATCTAACCGGTACAAGTATACCGGTTTTATGAGAGAATATGTCTAAATAATGTGTCGACACTTTTTAGTTGTGTCGATACTAATTTAAATATCAAGTGTTTTTCCACCGTTCACTATATAGTACTCTTAATCGAGAAACCCTAAACATAAAGGCAAGCAGGCAGAAGATAACTTCCTCTTTCTTCTACCGTTTCATAAGTGACGATCAGATCAGGTAAATTTATCGATATTTTAGGGGTTTGATTGATTTCTATATTGGAGTTTTTTCCCTGAATGTGTTTGTGTTCCATTGTAATAGCATCCAACCAAAATGGCTCCAAAACGTCAGCGTCAGAAGCGAGGTCTTTCTCAAAGCTCTTCTCAACCCAGTTCTTCTTAACCACAACCTCCTTATGTAACAAACGATTCTTCTCAGGAATCAGGTCATTCGAACTCTGAACTTTAGATCCGATATGGAGAAACAAAGATGGCATACGAGTTTAAAGTAAGGAAGATCCGTCCGAACGAAGTGTCATTGACCTGGGTTTCTGTTTGATGATAAATATGCATTAGTTTTAAATCCATATTTACATCTTGGGGTTGGCTTGAATTCCTTGGTGTAGAACCAGATATTATCCCAACCTAGTTAGAGTCTTCTACAACAATGCTTCCTTACAGCACGAGCCTAATAAGACTAATATAATAGGAATTATACACATGTCATGGGAAGGATATATATATCTCCAGAAACTATTGCGGAGGGTTTAGGTGTAGCGAATACAGGCGATTCATGAAAATGGTGTAGATTGGTCTACAATTAAACGGGTGCTAGAAATAGCCAATTCACCTCGATGTAGAGTCGAGAGTGTTTCACAAAATGCTCATATGGTATATCTGCCTGGGGGAAACATTCAACGCTTCGAGATAAATTATTGGGGATAGCAAAGTATAAATCCAAAACGGCTCCAACATTGCAAAACTCATATTTATACAATTATATATGGTCACAAAGGGAGCAACAATTTCAACTACACTACCATATGGATGTGTCATCACCCATCTGTTTGAAGAGAAGAAGAAGTTGCTTTTTCGCATGACGCCCCTGTTCGATTAACCCGCAAGATTGACATGGTATTATTAAAAAAGCGGGATATGATTTTGTTGAAAACTCGGTTGAAGCGTGTCAAGGAGGTCGGATTAGATCAAGAGAGGGAGGAAATGGACCCCGTTGGCCATGAAGAAGAGCAACCAAGTGGAGACGCAAAGATGGAAGAAGCTCCAGTTGCAGAGGATGTCACAATTAAGACCGTGATGGAATACATGGTCAATTTTCGGGAGCATATTGATTCCTTGTGAGTGGAATGCGATCCGATATTTCATCATTGCAACGTGAAGTCTCCATGTTTGCGTAACGAATTACGTCAACGACATCAAACGAGTTAGGTAATTCATTATCTATGTTTCTTAACATTTACACGTTATGAACTTATTTTATTTTCTTTTAACAGATGTGGACAACCAAGCGGTCGTAGAAGATGAAGCTGACGATGAAGATGACGATGATGATGACGATGAAGCTGACGATGAAGATGATGACGACGACGATGATGATGATGAAGATGATGATCCAACAAGTATATCGTGGCTACAACGCCGCCTTCAAGAAACTTTTTAATTTTTGATCTCAATGTGTCCTTGCCTACATCCCAAGACTGCATGCAGGTTTTAATTCTATTCTTTTGTATCCATTATTTTAACATATAGCGTAGAACTTTAATCTCATTTTCTTCATGTTGTAGATGTTGTCATCAGAAATGATTATTTGAATTTATGCAATTTGTGTCGACAATTTGTTGTTGCCCTTTAGTCTTCAAGATGAGGTTAGAACATGTTTGAAGCAATTGAATTAACTGTAGTCAAAATCGTATTATACATTGAATGTTAACATTCAAACTTGATTACAATCTCAGGCATAACGTCGACCGTGTACTTGAGAAACTACCTGTATTTTCCGAGCATTTTCTATTCGTGTGGGTAAGATGAATGTCATTACAACTTGCTGACTTTTCGTTGTCTATGATTCCTACATATTTATGTTCGACTGTTTGTGATCAGGATCAAAAAAAATGCAAAACATACGATTCTGTTACCTACTGTAAAGATCTCAATGATGTTTGGAACGCGTGTCCAGATTTTAACGAGCTAAATACACTTTTAGTCGATGATTCAGCGGAAAAAATGATTTATAATCCGGTAAGTTGCATTTATGCAATATGTTTTTTCCAGTTGAACAGGTGTTCAGACATTAATTATTTTAACAACTTATGTGTTATTTATAGAAATACAATTACATATGTCCACATACCTTTGACGCTGCTTCCCATTCGAACGACAATGCTCTAGGTATGACACAAATTTATTCAGCTTATGCGAATTTAGTTTTATTGTTAGTAAATTGCACCTCATTAGTTTGATAATGAAATTTTTATGTATGTCCTCAGAAAAAGGCAGAACATACGAGAGTATTTGGAAAATTTGTTGAAGGCCTCTAATGTTCCGAACTTCGTTAGAAATAACCCTTTTCATCGGATAATTTTGTTGTCGGTACATTATTTGAACATTCTTGTGTATTTATATTTTGGTGTGATTATATTGTGTGTATATTTTCATTAATTATTCCATATTTGCTTCTATATGTACATATACATTTGAGGATTGTTGAAATATCAATACTAATGTATTTTACATCTGCATGCAAATGTATCGAAACACATGACTATAGCATTGTTTTCGATGATATCCACAATAAAGTGTCGATTTAAAAAAGTGTCGACTGAAAAATGTAATAGACAATTTTGTAATATAACGGTATAAAATATCGGTTTACTTATAAAATAGGTAAATATAAGCGCTACCTATTATATAACTAACAATATTATTAAATTAAAAAACAATAAACATATATTACATATTTATTATTATCTTTGGTTAATGTTGTTAATTTAAATTCTAAATATTATTTATAAAATATCAAAACAATCAAATAATTTTTTGTGTAAATAAAATTATTAAATTAATATTGTAGGTGGAAAACATGAAATACTATTAAAAAAATTGAAACATAAATTACATAACTTTTAAAAAAAGTATCGATCCTTTTTAAAAAGTATGGACACTTTCAATATAATAGGTAAAAAATGATGTATAGGTAGCGCTTATATAATGTAATAGATATCATTTATATAATGTAATAGGTAGTGGTTATATTGTAAAATATCTATCCTTTTTATAAAAGTGTCTATAATTTTTTTCACTGTGGAAAACATTAATTTAAGGTTATCTTTTGAGTGAGTTTTAAGATATTAATTTAGTAATTATAGGCGTCTAATGATATTTTTTACATTACGATATATATTATATTAAATTAAAAAATCTAATATATTTATAAAATATCAAAAACAATCAAATAATTTTTGTGCAAAATGAAATTATTAAATTAATTGTAGGTGGAAAACATGAAACATACTTAAAAAAAATTGAAACATAAATTACATAACTTTAAAAGAATATGTGTCATTTTATAAAAAGTATGGACACTTCAATATATAGGTAAAAATATGATGTAATAGGTAGCGCTTATATAATGTAATAGGTATCGTTTATATAATGTAATAGGTAGTGGTTATATGTAAAATATATCCTTTTATAAAAGTGTCCATACTTTTTTCACTGTGAAAACATTAATTTAAGGTTATCCTTTGAGTGAGTTTTAAGATATTTAATTTAGTAATTATAGGCGTCTAATGATTTATTTTTACGTTACGATATATATATTATTAAATTAAAAATTCTAAATATTATTTATAAAATATCAAAACAATCAATAATTTTGTGCAAATGAAATTATTAAATTAATATTGTAGGTGGAAAACATGAAACATACTTAAAAAAAAATTGAAACATAAATTACATAACTTTAAAAGAAGTATCGATCCTTTTTATAAAAAAGTATGGAACACTTTCATATAATAGGTAAAAATATGATGTATAAGGTAGTAGGCTTATATAATGTAAAGGTATCGTTTATATAATGTAATAGGTAGTGGTTATATTGTAAGTATCTATCCTTTTATAAAAGTGTCCATACTTTTTTCACTGTGGAAAATTAATTTAAGGTTATCCTTGAGTGAGTTTTAAGATATTAATTTAGTAATTATAGGCGTCTAATGTATGTTTTTTACGTTACGATATATATTTATTAAATTAAAAATTCTAAATAATATTTTATAAAATATCAAAACAATCAAATAATTTTTTTGTGCAATGAAATTATTAAATTAATATTGTAGGTGGAAAACATGAAACACTATTAAAAAAATTGAAACATAAATTACATAACTTTAAAAGAAGTATCGATCATTTTTATAAAAAGTATGGACACTTTCAATATAATAGGTAAAAATATGATGTAATAGGTAGCGCTTATAATGTAATAGGTATCGTTTATATAATGTAATAGGTAGTAGTTATATTGTAAAGTATCTATCCTTTTATAAAGTGTCCACTTTTTTCACTGTGGAAAATATTAATTTAAGGTTATCATTTGAGTGAGTTTTAAGATATTAATTTAGTAATTTAGGCGTCTATGATTTATTTTTTATGTTACATATATATTATATTAAATTAAAAATTTTAAATATATTTTTAAAATATCAAAACATCAAATAATTTTTTGTGCAAATGAAAATTATTAAATTAATATTGTAGGTGGAAAACATGAAACACTATTAAAAACAATTGAAACATAAATTACATAACTTTAAAAGAAGTATCGATCCTTTTTATAAAAAGTATGGACACTTTCAATATAATAGGTAAAAATATGATGTAATAGATAGCGCTTATATAATGTAATAGGTAGCGTTTATATAATGTATTAGGTAGTGCTTATATTGTAAATTATTTATCCTTTTTATAAAAGTGTCCATACTTTTTTCGCTGTGGAAAACATTAATTTAAGGTTATCTTTTGAGTGAGTTTTAAGATATTAATTTAGTAATTATAGGCGTCTAATGATTTATTTTTTACGTTACGATATATATTATTATTAAATTAAAAATTCTAAATATTATTTTATAAAATATCAAAACAATCAAATAATTTTTTGTGCAAATGAAATTATTAAATTAATATTGTAGGTGGAAAACATGAAACACTATTAAAAAAATTGAAACGTAAATTACATAACTTTAAAAGAAGTATCGATCCTTTTTTATAAAAAGTATGGACACTTTCAATATAATATAATGTAATAGGTAAATTTGCAATGCTATCGTATAATATACGGTTACTTATAAAATAGGTAATATAAGCGCTACCTATTACATTATATAAGCGCTACCTAGTATGTTATTG